CTCGTGTGTGTGTGTGTGTCTGTGTGTGTTTGTGTGTGTGTGTGTTTGTGTGCGTGCGTGCATGTGTGCGCGCTCGCGCGCGCGTGTGTGTGTGTGTGTGTGTTGTTGTGAATTCACTTGCCGTCCTAACCATACGCAGTTCTGCAATGCAGTGTCTCGGCGCTCATGTTCAGCAACCTCTGATACCTAGAGGCTGGGTGGATGATGATTCATAAGCACTCAAAAGGTGCACAGAAGGGGATGGGGATCAATCCTTAGCCAGTTAGTCCAGTATACCATTGACCCATTGCGCATTGCCAAATATGGAATGTATGAGTAATGCTTGTGAGTATGCTGGGATCAGGGAATACATTGTTGAACACCCCAGACGACCATGCCCAGGTGGCTGAGAAGGGTGCTTATGGTACAAATTACGTCATTGCGCAATGGGTCCAGTCATCCAGACTAGTACGGAGGCTATGCGAATGGTATCACGATGGCGAGTCAGCAGAACCGCTTATGGGCACTATGCATTATAGCAAGAGTACATAACCCCCAGAGTGCGCAACTGGGATGGGGTTGTGGGACGGCGTGATCCGTGATGTACGTTGTTTTTGGGTCGGACTTGCCTCGTTCCATCGACGCGGTGCACCACCCCACACTTCCCCTACTCGTGGATGTCATTATTATAACGTGCAACACGGATTTCGCCGTCCCAGATCTGATAAGTGAACTTGCGCACTCTGGGGGGTTATGTACTCTTGATTATAGTGTCAGTCCAGGCCCGGCGGAAGCAATTGTTGATTGGTCCGGCCAAGTTTTTCCGCTAGCACAGCACTTGCGCACGTGTGACACAACACGACGTCTCTTCGCTTTGATCGTAGGTCAACGAAGCCCATGTCTGGAAATAATTATGCGGCCTGACAAGAGCGCTTCACCACTGTCTTCTTCCCAAATTCCCGCCGAGGAAACGCGAAGGAAGTGGTTGGGTGGACTGGCACTTCTGGCACAGATATTTCGCTGGAAGAAGCCATAGCTGCTAAGCATGCACTGCAGCTAAGCTGACCAAACGGCGGGAAAAATTTGAAAAACTACTTCGTTCAGTAAAAGAATCTGAAGCACTCGACGAAAAACCCTCAAGACTACAACATTAATTACAATGTAGAATCCATCATATCATGGCACGTGCTTTCACTTTCAGGTCGCGCCACAGCTACAGGCGCCGCCCACACACAGGCGCTAGGCCACATGCCACAGCTAGCTATGCTAATATCTAGCCCTCAAGCGTACACGTACACCATGTACACGGCAAGATCAGAGCAAGATCGCAAGTACGCGACGGCGTACATGCAATCGATGATCACAACAGTCATAACGTTACTGCGTCGTAAAAAAATCGTCGATGGCCGAAAAGTTGGTCCGGCCATGGCCGGACCGACCGGAGCGGCTCTGCCGGCCCTGCAGTCGCTGGTGCTTCGCTGTGCCGCGACATTGCCAAAGCATCTCAACTGATGATGCAATTCCATAACCTCCACACTCTGTCTCTTCTGTTTGCTTTCAGATGCATAAGGCAAAGAGAGAGCAAGAAGAGGAGGCCGAGCGGAAAAAGAAGAAGAAAAAGAAGAAGGGCAAGCACAAGAGAAAGCATTCGGAGTCGGACTCTGAGGACGAGGCTGCGCAGTCTGCAGCTAAGCTAGCCAAGGTAGGGCCACGCCGTGCGATGTACAGTGCGTGGTGAAGCCTGCATCTTCTCCATTCCCCTGTTGTTTAGTGCATCTGGATGTGCGTGTGTGTGTGTGAAGAAAAAAAGAAAAATAGGGATTCACTGGCCAGAAAAAGCCACTTCAATCAGCTGTGTGGTGGATACCAGGCTAGAAAATAGTGGCGGTCAATTTGTCAGCCCTGCAAGCTGTTGAATGGTGTAATCCCAGCACAAGTTGCTATGTCTAACCTAGCTGTTCGCTATCATCGCTTACGCGATGGGCATGTCTGAGGTGTGTGTGTGTGTGTGTGTGTGTGTATGTGTGCGCGCGCACGAATGTGTGCGTTCGAAAAAATGCCTAGTCCCATGTATCCGTAGGTTAGAACAATCATGCAACTCAGAGTTAGGATTAAAATCTGACCATCTTCTACTGCGTACTTAGTAGTCCACTTCGCTAATCACGACTGCGGATATAACGACAATTCGCGAATAAACGACAGAATTTCCATGCCCAGAGCAAAGTCCCATCTATCTGTAATACATATAATGAGACTTCGGGTATAACGACACTTCGCGAATAAGGACACTTTTCTGATGCCCCGCCGAGTGTCGTTATGAGCGAAGTTGACTGTAGTAGTTATTTTCTATATATGGGCGAAAGGACTAGTATCACATGAGAATAGACTAGTGTAGTACTGTGAGTGCTCTCTGCTCATTGCTCACCTGTTTCATACCAGCCTTACTCTAGCCATCAATGCTGTCTTTGCTCTCAGCATGCACTGGTCTTCCTTTCTGTCCTTTTCCCACTGTTCTGCAGGCAATCAAGGACGAGAAGCTGCGTCGCATGGAGGTGGAACGTGTAATGGGCATGGACGAACGGAAGCGCCCGTACAACTCCATGCACGCAGACTCCGGTAAGCAGCCGACCGAGGAAGAGATCGAGGCGTTTCACCGTACCAAGGTGCATGCCGATGACCCGATGGCAAACTTCATCGACGCGGTCTAGACGGACGTGTACACGGCGAAGAGCGGGTGGATGCGCTCTCTCCGTGCGTGTACGTGTGTGTGAACGTTGCTGTACTTGCGCATGTGTGTACCACGTGCGTGCACCCAATGGCGAACTTCATCGACACAGTCTAGGTGTGTACGGCGAAAAGGGGGTGGATGCGCTCTCTTCGTGTGTGTACGTGTAGGTGTGTATGTGTATTTTGCTGGACTTGTACATGCGTGTATCACGTGCGTGCACCCAATGGCGAACTTCATCGGCGCAGTCTAGACAGACGTGTAGACGGCGGAGAGGTGGCTGCACTCTCTTTGTACGTGTACGTGTGTGTGTACTTTGCAGTACTTGTGTGCGCGTGTATTACGTGTGTGCACGTGCTGGATGTCGGTATTCCCCATTGAGCATGCGTTCGCTCGCATGCATTTCAGTCTGTTCATACAATTTTATACAACCACGACAAACAACAGCAAGAATGTATATGCTTCATACGTTCATACTGTTATAAAACTGACCTCTTGCTTCAATTCGTTTCTCACACATTTTAATTATTGAGTAGGCATGCTGCATCATCACATGTCATGAAAGATTTTTCTAATCAATGTACATAAAACCATACTTCATATTCTGTGCAATGTTGACATGGGGAGAATGTATATTAACAAAATATAAAAGAAACTGGATATAAATCTCAAGCCGTTAGCGCATTTGATTGTGATGTTTGCAGTAGAACGGTGTGATCGGATCAAGCCTTGGAAATCGTTGCATTGATGGACGAGCGCAGTCTTTACGTAAATCAATTTGTGAATCATTCCTCCCGAGCCAGCTTGGTCTGTACTGCCTCTTGCAGGATATCAATGCGTCCAAACACCAGCGTACGCTCGCATGTATGATCCGCATACCCTAACGTTATGCTTGTTGAGTAACGCATCTACTGTAGCGATGCTGTGTTGCAAAGCTCAGCACATGTCCCTGACGGTGCAGTGCGATGCTGTGTTGCAAAGCTCAGCACATGTCCCTGACGGTGCAGTGCGATTCTGTGTGGCCCAACGCACACCCTGCACTAGGTATAGCACGATTATGTGTTCAACTGTTGCAAAGCCCAGCACAGATTCATGCACAAGGAGTAGTACTAGGACGTGCTCGGCTTGGGCGATACACACTGCCGACGTGATTGATGTCGTGTCATCTTGTTGTGGCCGTATCGCACGTGACAAGATGCCAGTCTAGCTAGCTTGCGAGGAGGACCCTGTGGCTGCCTGGCCACCTTGTGCATGGGCTAAATGTACGCGGCAACGTCGCATCCGCAGCCCACTCTGAACACCGCGTCCGCAGCACACGCACGAGCTGAACACCTTTGGAGGTGTGCTTCCTCCGTCCCAGGGGCGGATCCAGGAGGGGTTCCATGGAACCCCCTAAAATTCGTAAATGTACTACTGGCAACCAAATGTGTGTCCATGTATATGTATCAGCTGTTCAGTTTTGACTATACTGGAACCCCCCTGTAGAGATCACTGGATCCGCCGCTGCGTCCTGTGTAGACAGTTAACCTTGGAAGTAAGGACCACCACCGTGCATGAGACAAGTGTCGGTATTTGTGAGGTTTAGCGTATGCAGTCAAATAGTCACTAGAGTATATAGTTCTGAAGATTGTCACTATCCTCGAGTTGTTGTACCCTAGGTTCACTGTGAGTCATGTTCGGTAGAAGTGTTGAAAGCAGCACATTGCACAGCTCGGGTATGTCCATTGCACCAGGGAGTCGTAAAGTACCGGTATTTTGCGACTCCCTGCATAGCACCTGTGACCATTGTCAATGGTAGTGTATAGATCGATACGTGCTGAGCCGCCTTAGACATGCTGTAGCTGTCCGTCGCTGTGCACCAATGTGCCGCAAGCTGACGGTGGTCTGCATGCCTCGGTTGCCAGCATCACTCCAGAGGGACGTGAACAGTGACTTTCTGCAGACGTCACACAGGCATCAAGACAATCATTATAAACACACGCGCACATGCATACACGTGCACACACACACGCGCCATTTCCTGGGTAGAGATTCATAGCAGTGTGCAAGCCCTCCTCTCCCCCCTCCCCACTATATTTGAATCCAGAAATCAGACAGACTACCAACGCAGATTGTTGTCTGATGATTGGCCTAACAGCCATCAAACTCCATAGCACTGTACAACCAGAAATATTCGTCTGGAATTTAATTTCGTCTTTTTCGTCCAAGGAGCTTTTGGACTAAATTAAATGCCGGACGAATGTCGATTCGTCCTGCTTTTCAATACACTTTTATCATCCATGCACGAAATTTACAACCGGACGAACTCCGTTTCCTTGGAGTTGGACGAAATTATTGACGGACGAAATTTTCTGCCTGTATGGTACCACAATTTCTAGCCTTGCTCCATTGCAAACTTGTGTCCAATGATGTTGTAGCGAATGAGGTCATAGCCACACAAACATGCGTAGACTCGGAAGACAAGCTGCAAAACGAGCTTGTCCCACTCACGTTGAGTTCTTCCTGGCACTGCACTCCAGCCAGGTAGTTGACACTCTCCTTGGCCACTTGCACCAGGTTGCTGCCCGTCACGCCAGGCCTCTCCGAAATCCAGTACGGGATCATCTCGCCAACGTCGTCGTAGTGACCGCTGCCACAGCGCTCAGCAATGAAGCTCTCGATGCGGCTGCGGTATTCAAAGTCACTGCCGTGAATGCTGACCACAATGCCAGAGGCTAGCTTTGCTGTGCACGTGGGACGGTACATCATTCAGGCACGGGCAAGTTTGAGCGCACATGCCCGTGCAGTGGCACACGTGCACACACGCATGGATACACACACACACACACACACACACACACACACACACACACACACACACAAACACAAATATTACATACACAGTCATTATACACTCGGATGGAGAGCCGAGGATTAATTTAAACAAACGAAAAGGACCTTGGTCCTTTTCGTTCATTTTATACAGTACACTGCACATATATATATATATATATATTTTTTTTTACAAAGACCACTTAAATGCCAAACTGCATGAGATGCAGCTAGGGGAAGCACGCACAACCTGAATCGTGGCAGTGGTGGTGAGGTTTAGGGAACTCCGCCGACCTAGGGTCTCGACTTCATGGCCACCTAGACGCACCATGTGAAATCATACACATACACACATGCACACATACACAAATTTTGCCGGAATTTTTGTAGTGCCATAAGAGGCCCATGACTATGGATTACTTGCTGTCAGTACTGAAAGTTTCTGCAGGTGGACAGTCCTTAGTTTTCCTTCATGCACCCAAGCTTCACCCAACCAGGTCATTCGGGTATCACAGCCTGGCTTCCCAGGGCAGGTCAAGTGAGAGGAGAATCATGCAAAAGTCGCAGCAAAACACCCAAGTATACTGCAGGGACAGTCCCTAGTCCCCCTATGCCCTCCCCGCCCCCAATGCCTTGGTCCAGCCCAGGCCATTCAGGTATCATGACCCAGCTCTCCTCCAGCGCAACTCAAATGATGGGAGAATCCTGCAGGGCAGGCCCTAGTCCTCCCTCCACCCCCCCCCCCTCACCTTGGTCCAGCCCAGATTATTCAGGCATTATGACCCAGCCCCCCCCCTCCTTCAGGAGGGCACCACAAATTGTGGGAGTCATACAAAGTGCCCCAAACACACCTCTATGTCCTGGACCCATACGGCACTGAAGAGCTGCATAGAACTTCTCAAGGCGAGCGATCCTGCGCAGTGCAAACGAGCCACTGTCCTGTACTCGTCGCGACGAGGATTGCTGTGCTGGCTGCTGCTGCTGCTGTTGTAGTTGTAGTTCTTGTTGAGGCAAGTGTCGTGATTGATCCTGTTGTCCATTCTGCTCCTGGTGAACACCATCTTGCGGCGGTGAATGTGTGGTGGCACGAATTGGTGTAATTGTGTCGGGAGCACTCAGGCCAGAGCTGCACATGGATAGGAGAACAGAGCCATTCTCAGACCAGTCAGGCTGAGTCTATAAATCTATGCAGAGTAATGGATGCTCGTTTCAACTACAGTCAACTTGGCTAATAACGACTGCGGATATAACGACAATACGCGAATAACGACAGAATTTCCATGCCCAGAGCAAAGTCCATTCTACCTGTATGCATATAACGAGACTTCGGGTATAACGGCACTTCGCAAATAAGGACACTTTTTTGATGCCCGGCTGAGAGTCGTTATACGCAAAGTTGACTGTAAATGTCTGCGTGGTTGTGAAAATGAACTGATGGGGACCTGAATTGTACTAACTGGTGTTTGTAGTGGGTTCAGTGCGGTCAACACGCCCCATTATCTCCCCCTACTCACTAGTTGGAAAGCCGCAGGGGCACAAGGAGAAAAAGTGCCTCTGTAGAGGTCAAGCGATAACATCAACATGCATACCTGGCAACCATCCCGATTTGGCCGGGATTGTCCCCATATCCAGGGTAGTAATCAGGCGCGTGCGCCGGTGCCGTTCAAGGGGGCAGTTCCGGGGCCTCCCCCGGGAAAAATTTCAAAAAATGAAGCAAAATCCTGCATTTTGAGCGAAAAAGGGGTTCCGGGCACCCAGGAACCCATACGGTGCATGCGCCTGGTAATAGGCACCCAGATGTGCATTAGTCCCATGTCTCACAGCTACAGTTGTATACACTCTCATACCTACCTCTGTACGTAGGTACAGTTGCGCTCACTGAACTCCAACCCAAAGTGCAAAACTGACGCCCTGGACCAGTTTCGATTACAGTCAACTTCGCTTATAACGACACTCGGCGGGGCATCAAAAAGGTGTCCATATTCGCGAAGTGTCGTTATACCCGAAGTCTCATTTTACTTGTATGTATTACAGTGGGATGGTACTTTGCTCTGGGCATGGAAATTCTGTCGTTATTCGCGAATTGTCGTTATATCCGCAGCCGTTATTAGCCAAGTTGACTGTACTTGTGTACATATGTGTACGTCCAGCCACATTCGTGCCACTTCCAGGGCGTCAAGGGCCATGGAAGTTAGTTGAGGTGCCAGCTTTGTAAATTGGGTCAGATTTCAGTGAGCGCAACTGTACATTGAATGTCATTGTCCTGATCTCAGGTTAGCAACGGTTGGCATGCAGGTATGAACGTGGCCAACATCACGCGACCCATACAATGTGGATCTACATGTAGGTGCAGGAGTTGAGTGGAGTTGGAACCAACATGGCTGCACAACAGTCATGTGACCCATAGATGCAGGAGTTGAGTGGAGTTGGAACCAACATGGCTGCCACATAATATGGTCATGTGATAGATGACCTTGCACAGCAGCTCCATAGCCAGTATTGGTTAACTGGAACACAACACGCTGCAGCCATCGAAGTACAGCGAAACCTGCCCTAGCCGGACGCCCTCGGTGCAGCGGAAAACTGTCCTGAAATGACAGGATTCCGCTTGATCCAGAGATGCATGTTCGATCCATGGCACGCCGGTGCATACACTTTTGTTCGATCAATACAGGATTCCGCTTGCTACAGGGTCCGGAAAACACATATTTTACTGTTTTCAGTCATTTCCTCTGAGCCTAACTGCACTACATGTACAGTAAAGCCTTAGTTTTATGATGATGGCTTAGTGCGTGAAACTCATAGTTAAAACACTTTCTCTGTCCTCTTATTGTTTGTACAGTAAAACCTGTAACTAAAGACCACCGTGACTAGCTACCAGACTGGTACTACAGACCACTTCGACAGACACGGACGGTCTCACATTCATATACGGTCGTGCGGTGCAAACCTCTAACTAATGACCGCCTGCCACTGAAGACCGCTTTCTCCGGCCCCAAGGGCCTGTCGTTAATCACAGGTTTTAATGTACAGTGAAACCTGTCTAAGAAGAGCGCTCAAGGGACCTTCAAAGTGTGGGCTCTGTTACCAGGTGGTCTGCGCATCCAGGGTCATTTGACTAGAAATAGCATCCCTTGGTTCTGGCTAAAGTGGTGTTCTGGGACAGGTGGTCGCCTTATCCGAGTGGTCGCCTTGACAGGTTTTAATGTACCGTAAAGTCGCGGATAAAAGCCGGGTTTGCATACAAGCACATCGCGGATAGAAGCCTGAAAATCAAACGGGTCAAATGCATATAAGCCTGTCGCGCGTAGAAGCCTGGCTTCTATGCAAGCGCGGATCGGGTAGGTCAAGAGTGCATGCGCTATGTACAGTGCATAGTAAAACTGCCGCCATACCGGTAGTCAGTGGTAGATCTACGCGTGTCGCGCGTATACGCCTGGCTTCTATGCAAGCCCGGATCGGCCGATGTGCATACAAGCCTGGCAAAAATATCAGTGGTGCATATAAGCATGGTTTGCATACAAGCCTGGTTTGCATTGAAGCCTGATGCAGAAAGCGGCTTATGTGCTTATAAGCCCGGCTTTTATCCGCGACTTTACGGTACATGTAATCATTTCTTCTACGAGATGACTCAGACAACATGTCCATGCATACAGTACAGCGCACGTACATGTACAGTGGGCCCTTTATAGCCTGGCATCATTTGTGCTACGGAAATTCTGCTGGATTAGGGAGGGTGCTGGACTAGGAAGGGTGCTGGATTAGGGAGGGTGCTGGATTAGGGAGGGTGCTGGATTAGGGAGGGTGCTGGATTAGGGAGGGTGCTGGATTAGGGTGGGTGCTGGATTAGGGAGGGTGCTGGATTAGGGAGGGTGCTGGATTAGGGTGGGTGCTGGATTAGAGAGGGTGCTGGATTAGGGAGGGTGCTGGATTAGGGAGGGTGCTGGATTAGGGAGGGTGCTGGACTAGGGAGGGTGCTGGATTAGGGAGGGTGCTGGATTAGGGAGGGTGCTGGATTAGGGAGGGTGCTGGATTAGGGAGGGTGCTGGATTAGGGAGGGTGCTGGATTAGGGAGGGTGCTAGATTAGGGTGGGTGCTGGATTAGGGAGGGTGCTGGATTAGGGAGGGTGCTGGATTAGGGAGGGTGCTGGATTAGGGAGGGTGCTGGATTAGGGAGGGTGCTGGATTAGGGAGGGTGCTGGATTAGGGAGGGTGCTGGGTTAGGGAGGGTGCTGGATTAGGGAGGGTGCTGGATTAGGGAGGGTGCTGGATTAGGGAGGGTGCTGGATTAGGGAGGGTGCTGGATTAGGGAGGGTGCTGGATTAGGGAGGGTGCTGGATTAGGGAGGGTGCTGGATTAGGGAGGGTGCTGGATTAGGGAGGGTGCTGGCTTAGGGAGGGTGCTGGATTAGGGAGGGTGCTGGATTAGGGAGGGTGCTGGGTTAGGGTGGGTGCTGGATTAGGGAGGGTGCTGGATTAGGGAGGGTGCTGGATTAGGGAGGGTGCTGGATTAGGGAGGGTGCTGGATTAGGGAGGGTGCTGGATTAGGGAGGGTGCTGGATTAGGGAGGGTGCTGGATTAGGGAGGGTGCTGGATTAGGGAGGGTGCTGGATTAGGGAGGGTGCTGGATTAGGGAGGGTGCTGGATTAGGGAGGGTGCTGGATTAGGGAGGGTGCTGGATTAGGGTGGGTGCTGGATTACAAAATCTGATTTTCTGCTGCAATGTACATGAAAAGGACATTTTGGTTACCGAAAGTTATGCTGGTTTACAGAGGGTGCTGGTTTATAAAGTGCCGGATTAAAGAGGGACGACTGTACTCACCTTTCGTGATCAGCACTGTCGACACTGGTAGCGACAAGAGCAGTGGCACAGGGGTCAGCAATGTGCTGCCGTTGAGAGTCAGCCGCATTGTCGTTTGTAAAGTGTGCCACAGTCCGTCTACCATGTACCACTAGTCCAAACGTCCTGTCTCTTGCCTGCACACCGCACCAAAGAGACAACAGAGAAGAAGAACGAAGAAGAGGGACTTCGCGACGCCGGGTCTAGCACAAGTGTGTAGCCACCTCGATTGTGTACAACAATCCTGATTCGGCAGATTCCGAATGTTGCGAGTATAATTCCGTATTAGGCCAACTATTACTTCATGCGAAGCTCTGCAGTGGGCTTGCAAGTGATTTGTACGGCAGGAGCAGGTATACACAATAGCTCGATTCGAATGAATATTGAGCAATCTGCCGAGCCGGAGGACTCTCATTTGCAGGAGCAAGTATGAAAGAAGCAACAACCACAGACGGTACATGACTTAGCGTGCATACTAGTAAACACCTACTCATTCCTGCATACACCCACTCCATCTCACCTCCCTCCACCCCCACCCCTCCCCCCCCCCCCCCCCCCCCCCAACACACAGTGTTGGAAGCAGGGAGTAGTAAATATTTTACTCTTCCCTAGTTGGAAGCATACATGTACATGTAGCGTATAAATTCAGCTCAGTTTCACCAACCTGTTCTTGCTGCACTGGCATGACGATGTTCTCTTCACTACCGTCATCCGGCGCGCACACACGATCGGTGACGGTTGCGAGGCAGTAGACCCCACGTTCACCTTGCTCCCGAACTCCAGCCTCAACTGCGGCACCATTCATCTCCTGTTGTGTCGCTGCCTCTTCTGGCCCCACGGAAATCTCCGACAACTGCCGACCCAGTTCTGCGGCGGTTGGCCTATCCTGGGGATTTCCCTTAAGGCAGGGTGGGATGACGTCACGGAGTGCATGGTCACGTGTGCCCAGCTGTTCTAGGTCCTCGGCGCGGCGCGCGGGATTGGGGTATCCCCTCAGCACCAGCCCGAGCAGCACAACACCGAGGGAGTAGACATCGGATGGAGTGCCGTACAGCGAGTGCATGCCATTACCAAACACCTCCGGCGACATGTAGGCGAGCGCACCGGGAATGGCCGTCATTTCGTGTTCGCATGCCCGCACCGCCATGACGCGAGCGTTTCCCACGTCACCGATCTTGGCCTGGCACGAGTGCGAGCACCAGGACGTCAGCAGCATGTTGCTCAGGGTTACGTCGCGGTGCAGCACGTGTCTGCGGTGCAAATACTCCAGGCCACTGGCCATGCCGCGTGCTATGCGCAATTCACAGCCTGCAGACAAGGGTTCAACCACCGGCCTGCTGGGACCGTCTGGCCTAGTGCTGCCCAGTGGGGCTGAAATGCGCTGTCCGAGTGTGCACACAAGCCGCTCCGACACGAACCCAGGACTGTCGAACCGGCCTGACACAGGCGGGCACAATCCGTAATACTGCACGATGTGCGGGTGATGTAGGCTCCTGGAGATGTCGCTCTCGCGAAGGAATTTCTGCACGTAGGGCGAGGGGCATCGCGCACCGTTCTCACCTTGCTGGTCAAGCAGAACCACGGAGCGATAGCGTTTGACGGCCACTTGCGCCCCGCACCACAAGCCCGCCCAGACCTCGCCGTAACTGCCACCACCCAGACGCTCCGTCAGCTGTTCCACGCCATCCAGAAGTTGCTGCGCGTCGATGTGCTGTAGAAGTTGGTCGCCGGCGGATATTGGCGAGGACGTCATAGTACGTCCACTCTCCTGCTGCTGCTGCTGCTGCTGCTGCTGCTATGCGCCAAACCCCTTCCACCGCCTGAACGGCTACGACTGTAAACGATACGGGAGGAGAAAGAAACACTGAGGACGATGTTTGTAGCTGTCGGTAAGTTTTGTGTTTCCCTTCTCCGGTCCGCCGCAATGCAATTTCAACGCACGAATCTCTCCGCCACTTGCGACGGCGACCGATGTTCAAAGTTTTCAGCAGCTCCCCGCACAGAGCGTCAGAAGACCTCTCATTGACCTTCGCTCGGGCGGCTTTCAGCTCAGCAGATAACCTTCCATCATCTTGTCTGGGGAGAGTGGGCCGGTTTGGAAGGCGGATTGTCACCCGATTGACCTTCCGAGCTCCCTGTACCGCGTCCCTTGCATGCTGGCGGCCGCCCAGTTCAGTCCAACCAGCGCTCGCCGTTCATTCAAAGGAAAAAAAGTCCCGGACAATCGGCAGATGCTCGCGACTTCGACATGACTGTGATGACTACAATGTGGCCTGTGGGACTGCCCTATTCAAAATCGTGCATGTGATACAGTGGGGGTAAGTCCCTCGTGCTCATGGTTATATCCGCCAAAAGGCCAAGCAGACGGTAGACTCCAACAATCTTCATTCCACATGATAACATTGGTCATCGCCTGAGGCGGCTCGCTCTTCGAGCTTCGCGGTCGGTCAGCTCAGCGCTAGTCTTTACTGTCTTCATCTCCCAATAGTCAGTTTGCCGGGATACAAATCATACAATGCAATCAGGGAGTCGTAAAATATTATTTTACGACTCCCTGAATGCAATCGTAAAATCATTCGACCGCCCCGCATCACTAATAATCAGCAATGCACGGCCGTCAGCGACTTGACAACGGAGACAGTGTCTGCTCTAGGATTGTAGGACAGCCGGGTACACGTGTACTTGGCGCAACCATTTCAACCGGGTCGGCGCCGGGTACACATGTATATGTAGTAGTAGTGGTAGTATAAAATCTTGTAGGACGCATCACGCAGCTTCATAAGTAAAAAATTGGTTGTGAGCAACACTGGCTCACACTCAAATAACTGCTTTTCACCAGAAAAATATTATATTTCAACGTTTCGGTCATGAAATAACCATCATCAGGAATGAAGTGGGCACACCGGTTAGGATGGGTTAATATACGAGGAGCGCTGCAAACTGATAACAAATCACACCTGCATGCACTATGACGAGAGAGAGAACAAAAGGACAAAACATCACCAAAAAAAACCCAGGTATAGAAATAACGCAATACGCGACAACTCTAAAAATGGCACAGGTACAAGCAACAAACAGAATGTACATGTGCACTAGGTGCGTGCAGACATGTAATTGCAGGCGCTAGCAACAACAGTAGTAGTAACAGTGCACTAGTTCAAGGGGTGCTTAACCACCACCATCCAGGAAGAGCGAGTATCAGGGCCAGAAATATGTACAAGGCTTCACCAGAGAATTCACAGGAGGTCCCACCCTGCGTTATTGTTTATGCTGGGGCTCGTGTCGCGAATTTGTATTGCTTCGCGTATTCTCCTCCTGGCCCGATCCGACTCAGTGGCAAGGACGCGAACCTCTGTGAATGCCGACTCGCCAAGCGGCAGTACCTCGTCGCCATGGTGAAGTCGGTAGTGCTCGCCCAGGGCTTTTCCAGACGTCTTGTTGCGTGAGTTATCATTGTGTTCTTTTGTTCGCGTTGCTACACTGCGGCCAGTCTCTCCAACATACTTCTCCGAGCACTTGCAGGTCAGACGATAAACCACGTTGCGTCTTGTGCATTCTACCTCGCTTGATTGGCATGCAACGCAGGCGGCTTTAGGCCTTCCTCGTCGCCTCGGGGCAGCGGGATCCACCCACTTACGGCAGCAAGGTCCAGTGAGGCTGGACTTAGTGACGCTGTTGGAAAGCCTTGCATTCTTGTAGATTATCTGTACATTTAGATTGTATTTGTTTAGAAGACGGTGGACCCTGTAGTGGATGGCATCCGTTTTGAATGGTAACTTCAACGTGGATCGATAGTCTTTCTTCTGTTTAGCAGGTCGTCTGGCTCGTTCATGAGCAGTCGCGATCACTTTGTCAGGAAAGTTGTTGAATTTTAATGTGTCAATAACCTTTTGCTCACTTCGCTGGCGGGCTGCAGGATCAGAGGAAAGGCGTGTGGTTGGTTTGTAGTGGTAGTAGTAGAATTTATTATTTTGATAGGTACCTGGCGCTGTCTCACCAGCCGAGTCACACGCTTTAACTGGTTGGTTGGTTTATTTTAATTCGGACAATAAATGGGAACTAGGCCCAATGATATAAAGGCGAATGGATAAGCTGCATTTAGAAAAGAGAGGACAGGAAGAAAATTACGAAAGAAGAAGAAGTATCTGACACATACAACTTACAAGCCATGTAGTCAGTCCTTTCAGAGTTCGAAAGTACCAACCGGGTCACAGGTGACCCGGTACTATATTTTCAACCGGGTCCAAGCGCCGCCCAACCGGGCGCATGGATTACCCGGCTCACCCGGCGCTGGAGCAGACACTGCAAACTACAAGTACAATGACGATCTGCATGATTGTTGATCTACCCATCACCATGATCACTCTCTGACAGACTCAGTGACCAGTGACAGAGAGCGAGAGCTCGAGAGGTGGAGAGAGCAGCCCCGATTCTTCGAATCGTTTGATCCAGTGGTTGTGTGGTTGGTTTGCAGTAAGCATTGTTTTAGAAAACGGAGAGGTGTATTTGTGCTGCTGTTGATGCAGCTATGGCGTGGTCGTCAACTGCTCGGAATGGCCTTCTGACGACGCTGTTGCTGATGTTGGTGTCCGGCAGCCGCGGCATTAGCGCGGTGGAGTTCGCCAAAAACGACGGCCGAGCTGGGCCGGTCGACTCGGAGGCGACCGCAGCTGCGCCGCCCAATATCGTTCTCATCTTCGCCGATGACTGTGAGTGATGCTAACCTTAACGGGTAGTAGGCGCACCCTTCCAGTAGGCGTAGCCTATGTTCTGGGTGCTTGCAGGACGGCCGCTAGTGCCACGAAATCCTCAATGGTTGACCAAAAATAACTGACACATTTTCGTCATTCAATAATAATCAAATCGTGTCCGGTATGGCTATAAGAAGAGAAGAAGTGATTCAGACAAGATGTCATCCCGAGTTACACAATACATGAAATGAAATAGAAATTGAACAGTCCATATGATTTTCACACTGACTGTTTACTGACTGTTCGGTTCTCTCCCAGACAAGTTAATTTTATAGATCTGTTCAGTGCATTCTTGCTGAAAGCCATGAGTCCGAAATGTCTTCTCCGGAGTTTCTCTAACCGCAGGCTGCTCAATCCGATTTCATGAACAGGAGTCTGTGTGCGTGTGTGTGTGTGTGTGTGTGTGTGTGTGTGTGTGTGTGTGTGTGTGTGTGTGTGTATGTCTGCATGTGTGCATGCAGTGGGCTGGGGAGACCTATCGACGTACGGCCACCCGACGATTCGCACACCCAATCTGGATCGTATGGCAGAGGAGGGATTGCGCTTTACGCAGTGAGTCAGTGAACTAACCTGTATAGGGGTTTTGTGATGATGTCATCTTCTTGGGTGTTGAATGGTGTGGCATTAAGCGATGACGTCGCCATCTTACGTGTTGCGCAGTGATTGGCATTATGTGATGATGTCATCATTTTTGCATCGTGTCCACGGAGTGACATTGTGATTGTGATACTGTCATCGTATTGGGTGTTTTGTACGGAGTGACGTTATGTGATGATGTCATCATATTGGGTGTTTTGTACGGAGTGACGTTATGTGATGATGTCATCATATTGGGTGGTTTGTGTAGAGTAGCATCCGGTGCTTCCGTTTGATCCTCAATGCAAAGCATAATTATTCAGTCAGCTTTGTGAATAACGACTTTCCACTATTAAAGCATACAAAACGTGTTGTTATCAGCGAGTTGGTATTATACTGCAGGTTGATTGTATGTACAACTCGACTTTGGCCATAGAGATCTCCTGCGGGGTAGAGATACAGTCAGACCTCGCTTAACCGCACACATCCGTTTTCCACAAAAATACCCGGATAGGCGAGGGAACCGGATAATCGAACACACACACTGTACATATGCATGACATATGCTGTAAATCGGTAGTCAACAATTTTCATCCGGATGGTGAGGGATCCGGATAAAAGAGGATCGGATACGCGAGGTCTGACTGTATCAGCTAGGCGAGACTGGCAGATTCTGAATCTATTCCGCTAATCCTCGCTCTCTTCCCATGGCATACAGGTTCTACACGGCCAACGCTATCTGCACTCCATCGCGGTCGTCACTGCTGACTGGACGTCTGCCCGTGCGTAACGGCATGTACGGGACGTGGAACAATTCCGCCAGTAACGTCATGACACAGGTACGCTGACCCGGGATACAGGAGGCGGACATTTACCTTATTTTCCGGAGCATGACCCGCACTTGAAACACTCATAATTCTCCCAAAAAAGCGGGTGCGGCTTATACAATGATGGTCGAATGAACCGTGAAATACAGGGTAACTTTAGATGTCTGTATTTCGTAGCCAAAAATCTGGGTGCGGCTTTAATATACTATGGAAAGTACGGCAGTCGCAACAGCCACATAGTGGCTGGCTTCATTTCTCAGTTTTGTCTATCAAAGCATTATCCATGTCTGGCATGATGGTTGCAACGCTAAGCTCGGGTTTGAAGCTTGGGTTCCATTTAAAACTTTTAAACTTCAGAGACTTGCAAACTGACTACAAATGTACATGGTCTGTCAAATGGTGCACTTAGGGAGAAGGTAATAGAGAGGGGGAGGGTCAGGAAACTACTTGTCTGCTAATTGGGCAGGGATGTGTTTTGTATTGTGTTGTTCCCACGGCTACTGCAGGTGCTTCATGCAGATGGTGTCGGAGCACTGCCACACACCGAGACTACCATTGCTGAGCTACTGAAAACGGTCGGCTATCACAGCAAGCTCATCGGGTAAGCATTTCCTTCCCGGTGCACTTCTCGACGTCATTCAGTTCGCCGGGGAAACGCAACATGTCCTTGCATGCAGCGGTTGTGTAAATGGGTGTATGCAAGTGTGTGTGTGTGTGTGTGTGTGTGTGTGTGTGTGTGTGTGTGTGTGTGTGTGCGCGCGCGCGCGTGCACGTTGCTATAAAGAGAGAATCTGTGGGTGCACATCCAGTGCATTTTCAGATTTGCATGCTTCTCTTGTGACGGGCGTATACATGGTACACGATGTGTGTGTGTGTGTGTGTGTGTGTGCATGCGCGTGTAGGAAATGGCATCTAGGTATCCAGGAGGACAACTGGCCAACGACACACGGCTTTGATGAGTTCTATGGCACGCCGATGATGCATGGACCGAATGAGGGCAACCAGGTTAGTACAACATCCTTGTACCCAGTCCTAGTCATCGGTGGATATGTGCCCGCATGATTGTGAGCTTTTAACCCTAACGTGTTACCTTTTCTGGAAAAAAGGCAGCAACTTTGCCAGGAATATTACAGCAAGAGCAGTACTGCCCAAAGCAGCCCAGGCCCCCAATTCCGCCCCAATCGGGCCTCGTTTGAGAACCAGATGGGGACTTTCCGGGCATTCTCGGACCCTCTTTCGTCGTGTGAAATGTATAAACTGTAAAGCAGATCAGGGCCCCGATTGGACCTTATATGGGGCGAATCGGAGCCCCAATTGGTACAATTGAGGCACTGTCCATACATCGTGTACTGCCGCACACAACACAGCCATACTGTGGGATGTTTTCTGCACACAAAAACAAAAACAAAAGCAAAAGAAAAGTATCTGTCCAGTGCAATGAGTACTATTTTTGTGTGAATATGTCCTCGTACCCGGTTACTGCATTGTAATGCCCGTGCTCTCAAGGCACGCCGTTGCAGTTTGTTAGTCGTCCATTTACAACGGGGAGGGGAGGGGGGGGGGGGAGAGAGAGAGAAGACAAAGGCAGTGAGAGAATGCCCACAGCTCTCCTACAACTAATAACATGATGATAAAAGTACCCATACGACAGTACATTCAGACCTCGTTTAACTGTACACGTCCGTTTTCCACCAAAATATCCGGATAGGCGAGGGAACCGGATAATCGAACACACATGCTGTATGTATGCACTACATACCGTAGAATCCCCGCGGATAAGCCCATGGGCTTATCTGTATCACAAGGACATTTCGGTGGGCTTGTACAAAAACATGGGCTTATACGGTGACACCAAAAGTATGCATTGAAAAGTACCAAGGAAGTGAGAAGTACATTGCTGAAAGCCACTGTGCAAACAAAAACAACCGATGATTGTGTTGAATTGTGCAAAAAAAACTACATGACTACGTACATGGTACGATCAAGAGTCCATAATTTTTGGACTCTTGCTACAAGTTAGGCCCATGGGCTTGTACGATAAATCTTTGTGACGTTCGAACTTTCCCTGGGCTTATGCGCGAGCATGGGCTTTTACGCGGGTGGGCTTATCCGCGGGATTCTACGGTATGCTGTAAATCGGTAACCAACAATTTTCTTCCGGATGGCGAGGGATCCAGATGAAAGAGGATCGGATAAGCGAGGTCTGACTGTGACGGTTATCCTGTCTGTTGTGTTCTTTCTGTGGTAATTGCAGAGTGTCTTTCCCGACATGCAGCTGATCAATAACACTGAGGTATGCATGCCAATAGAGAGGTTAAGTTTCACGTAAAATTCTTACGTCCGTGAACTTTTATGTCAAAAATTCAAAAATCTCACGTAAAATTTGACCTGTTTTACGTGAGTTAACTGTCCCGCACGTAAGTTCGTGACGTGGGTTTTTGGAAGTTTCGATTGGTTATCCCGCGTTGGAGTGTCATTGGATGATATATGTGGTGTGACTACGCCGCGTCCAGCCTAGACACGAATTGGAAACTAACTGGGTGCACCTTACAAACACATGTACCTGAAATTGTTGCTTCAATGTCACCCATTTCTACTTGCTTGGATAGAAGGGTGCGTTCTTTTATCCTCTGCCAAATTCTCCCAAATTTTGAAGAGCGCTCACTTATCGTCTGCCAAAAGCAGCAGACTTTGCCAAGCTCTACTGGCTCTTGAGGTGGAAGTAAGTGGAAGATGACCACGTTTTGTCACTTGCCCGTGGACAAAAGGGACTTGGGGTTGGCAAAAAATCATTTCAATAAACGCGTCCTCAAAATATTTCCTGTTTGGCATGACGCACTGGGGATCCCGGATCTCTTCAGACCCGTTCGAAATATATTCTCACCTCTTCTCTTCCTAGCAGACTTTCCTAGCAGACCTTCCTAGAAGAGACAGAAGAATAAAAGAACGCACTCTAAGTTTGTAGCTAGTTGATGTACAGATTATCAGCCATCTGAGCATCATCTGAGCATTGCCTTGGCGTTGCTACATGTGCATGAGACTCAGTGTTACGACAATGACCTAGCCGGTTGTCTCTGTTCTCTTCTGCCTTTGGGGTATTGCTCCATCCTTGCGGTGCTGAGCTTTCTAGGTATTAAATCTGGGATTTCTCGCTGTTGTGTGAAATTGTACGGTATGTTGCTGTACATGTGTGTGTGTGTGTGTGTGTGTGTGTGTGCGTGTGCGTGTGCGTGTGTGTGTGTGTGTGTGTGTGTGTACAACAGGTGGTTGGTCGTCTGTATAAGGAGATCGACATCCACACACTCAACACAAACTACATCCAGGTATGCCGGTGACAACAACAACAGTGTGGTGTGCAATTGTGAAACTTACTGTACTTATATGGAGCAGAAGGGAGAGGCAGAAGGGAAAAATAACATACCGTAGCTGGAGTGAGTGAAGTGGGTCTCACTTTCCATACTTTCATCCTGATAATGGACCAGGCCCGAATATTTGTTGCAATGTAAAGTGACTCACAGAAAAGAGACCATTTCGGAGTTGGAGAAGTGACTAGTTCTAGAGACTTTCCCATCTGTTTGCTCATGCACTTGGCCTGTGTCTGCTTGCTTGTGTGTGATAGAATGCCGTGGATTACATCAAGACGAGGAGTGCGGACCCCGAGAAGAAGTGAGTGCGCACACACATACAGATGCCGTCAACATCCCTTCGCAGTGCCGAGACTTAGAGGATTACCCAGGAAATGATGGCCCACTTCCATTTAGACCCACACGGCTCCCTGCAGCATACATGCACTTCCCCTATTTCATTGATGGTATGACATTTACAGTTCTGTTGTGTCCAATTTCTCAATCTGGTGCCTTCAGAATCCAGTAAAAAATCTTTTTTTTAAAGAATTCAATGGAAAAAAGAACATTTGAAGAGATCACAATCTCTTGCCCCCTCTACCATGTTCCCTGTTGTACACTGCAGGCCATTCTTCCTGTACTTTGCACCAGACAACACTCACATTCCTCTCTTCACCTCGCCACAGTTTGCCGGCGTCAGCAGGCGCGGTCTCTATGGCGACTGCGTCGAAGAACTGGACTGGGGCGTCGGGCAGATACTGGAGACCATCAGGTCGCTCACAATCCGTAGGTGCTTCTATTTTTGAGGAGCTCTGAGCATGCAAACTACACAAAGCATGTCCTGTAAATACAGAGCGGGGACAGCATTGTATGCATGCATCAACAAGCTTGGTGTTGTCTTTTTTTTACAGATTACATTTAAAAGCGCTATCTCTTTCTATCCGATCTTGCCCTGCGTTGAATCCAGTGCTTCTGTGGAATCGTTCACTTCCCTATAGCAGCGTTCTGTTGTCATTGCTGTGTTATGTACGTAAAGATATGGATGTACGAGACTCGTGCATGTTTCATGAGAAAGCTCACGATGGGCACGAGACACGGTTTTAATGCACTCGTGTTTCGTATGTGACTTGCATGCGTGTGTTTATGCGAGCAGAGGAGAACACATTTGTCTTCTTCACGAGCGACAACGGCCCAGACAGGTAAGGTTATATGCATCTGTCCACATAGCAATCTGCTGGTGCATCCACCTCACATCTCTTTCTTTAGCAGGGCCACAGCACCCGATCTGGCCGGTCCAGGTAAAAAAAGTCCACCCACGCTATTCGTGAAAATGGGTATGTTGTTTTTGTTGTCGATGATATCAATTTCTTGGACTCGGATGGAGAGCCAAGGATTTATAGGAAGAAAATTGACCAATGAACTACGCTATAATGTCCACTAACACCACTAGTTACATGACAATCAGCTCATGCGATAACACTGTACGACACTGACCGACGGTACTTGTTGGAGTGCGCATCCAAGATGTGCTAGAGCTGCTAGCCAGTGAGTTGTAGAACGTCAGTACCGTCGGTCAGTGTCGTGCAATGTTATCGCATGAGCTGATTGTTTAGTAACTGGTGGTGTTACTGGATATTATGGCGTAATGTGTAGTTCATTGGTCCTTTTTCTTCTTCATATCAATTTCTGCCGCTCATACCGCATTTAACCAGACCTCCTGAAATCCTACAGCTCATGACGCAGGCAGAGCTCTGGGATGATGTCTCGATGCCAGCTGTTCGTGGCTGGGCTGTGTGCTCGTGTAGGCACTTTCATTAAATTTTGGAACTAAATCCTGCGTGGTTTGTAAGGATAACAGAGCAATGGAATGAAAGTATTTTCTACTTTGAAGCTATAATAACTTATAGCTTAGAAATGTTCTGACAGAGCTACTCTACAAGCAGAAATATTCGTGTCGAATTCATTCTCGTCTTTATCATCCGAGGAGTAGTCAGACTAAACTAAATGCCGGACTAACGTGGATTGGTCCAGGTTTTTGATTGATTTATTTTCTCTTTTGAGTTGAACGAAATCATTCACCGACTCAAGTTTCTGCCTGTACAGTATAGCAAAAGTTGGTGCTTCGACGGTAGATGTGTCAGCATAACACCAAGTCTGGTTGTTTGCGTCGAGTGCGTTCCTAAAATCTGGGTACAGTATTTTCCAGAGTACAAGGCGCACTTTAAACACCAGTTTTTGACCCCGAAAAGTCGATGCGGCTTATACTACTTTTATACTACCATGATCAAACTACTGTAATCATGGTGATAAACAGGGTAGATGTCTGTATTTTTTCTTTATTTTTTTCTTCTTTTTTCTTTTTCTTCTTTTTTTTCTTTTTCTTCTTTCTGACTGTATATAGTATCCAGTTACAGTGATGGAGAGTTACTCTAAACTCGTATCCATATGTCCTTTTCCTTTCTACATTTCTTCTTTTTTTTCTTTTTCTTCTTTTTTCTTTTTCGTGGGTGCAGCCTATAGTCCAGTGCGGCTTATACTCCGGAAAATATGTTAGATTGTTTCCTGTCCTTGCTCCTCGCTGTCTTTTCCCCTCGCAGACGCACCGACCTGTGCAAGTCACTGCCCGGGGTGGCGTGCGACCCGACCCGGGGTGGGTCCGCGGGCCCGTTGCGCGGGGGAAAGTCTACGACCTGGGAGGGCGGCGTACGAGAGCCAGCCATCGCCTGGTGGCCCGGCAAGGTCAAGGGCATTGACCCGGGCGCCGTGGCAACCACGTTTGAACTGGCGTCAAGCATGGATCTATTTGGTAAGAGCCCTTGTGCCAGTACATGTACATGTCCCTCCACACTGTCACTTGATCACTATACACTACCACTTGATCACTATATTATGCTGCATCACATCTTCTAAAGCCTGATTCATACTTCATTTCGCGTACGGAAAACGTGTCACATCGCACAAAAGCTGACCTGAGCTCAACTATTTTTGGCCAATCGCGCGACGTTGCGCGATGACTTACACAACCTAGCCATATGCAAGAGAACCCTTCCTCCTTCCTCCTAACCCCTTATCTTCCATGTAATTGAGCTTGTGTACATGTACTTGCGAATTCAAATAACATATACAGCATACAATCCACTTCTCAAATCTCCAAACTCCAAAAACGGTCTCTTCACTGCAATTTCAAATTAAAATACACATTACACCAAATTTTCGGGCCTGGCCCATCATCAGGATAATGAACAATTGAATATACAGTCCCGTACTAGACTATAGACTTGTACCGGATGACCTGCCCCAAGCGGACGCCATTGATGCAGCGGAAACTGTCCTGATAGGACAGGATTCGGCTTGATTCAGGGGTGCACGTTCGATCTACAGCACTTTGACGCGTGGAAGTAGTGTAGGAGTTGCATTTTAATCAGTAGAAAGTATATTTTTCGCAATAAAAGAGTATTTATTTGAAGAGCTTGTGTTGATACAGATTCCTAGGTTCAAACCCCAAGATGGGCAGTTAGTTACATTTTTCTCTCCTTGCGTATTTTGTATCTGCATGTTATTACCCTTTCCGTGAGTCGCTCGTGAGTAATGTATGAGTCGTGTATGGCTAAACCCGTATTTACCCGTATGACTACTGCTAGTGTTATTGTTCTAGAACATTAGCATAATTAACCAATCACAGTTCACAGCTCTGGAATATTCTAGAATTTCGTCGGCAACCGGTTTATATAGATTACTGATTGGTTGATGACCTAAAAACATGGCTGCCGTTCGCCGTGTGTTTTGTCTTCTTGCATTGTTCTTTTCTTGTGCTCTTTTCACTTCTTATCTTTACTTGCCGAGTGTGTAACTAATAATTCTGTCCTAACGAGTATTCGTGAAAACACAAAGTGAGTGCTTTGTTTGAGTGTGTGAAATTGTCTCCGAGGGCCAGCTACTACAGTAGTTTATCCGGTCAATTGAGGATTCCGCTCGATACAGGGACCGGCAAACACAGGTTTTACTATATATCTGTGTATGGGAAATGTTTGCCTGCAAAATTGTGTACTGGAAGTCTACAAATTTTCGGCCCATTCAAATGTCGGCCTCCCGAGCCTAAAACTCATTTCAACCGCATCAATTTTTCGGCCCATTCCAATGTCGGCCTCCCGGGGCTAAAACCCATTTCGGCCGCGTCACATTTTCGGCCGGTGCTACTGCCGCCTGTATACACTGTCACGCTGAACCTTGCAAAACAAAATTTCGGCCGAAAGTAGGCGAAAATATATATGCGCCGGATATTTGTTGACTTGCAGTATACTAGTTCTGCACATGTGTAGTTGCTGGGACATGTGACATTTTTCCTCACGGGCGAAACGATTCTCTTGTTCAAACGCCTCCTATACGATGGGGTTTTTTCGCAGTGCCGGGGTGGCCGGATTTGAGACGTCAAACATGCCATATGATCAGCTCCTCATGTAGAACTGTGTCACTGTTAAACAAGCATGTACCAGTAACAAGTTAGGTTGTGAGCTTGTGATCGAGTTGTGGGCCATTCGATAAATTCCTCCTCGCTGGTACATGTGTTCGTGTTGGGTTTTCACTTTGCAGCAACATATGTTGAGCTGTCTGGCGCCAAGCTACCGGCCGGTGTCACATATGATGGTGTTTCACTCATGCCCATCTTGACCGGACAGGTACGATGTTATAGATACACCGAAGTGTCTTGTATTAAAGCCTCTCTCATAGAAGCCTGTTTCGAATAGAAGCCTGATTTTCAAGAGGCACTGTCGGCACATAAGCCTGGTTTAGTGCTGACATACATAGAAATACCTGTCTTGTATAGAAGCCCGTATAGAAGCCTGTTTTCCTGCAAAATTTCCCCGAAGACAGTCGTATAAGCCGCGGCTTTTATACACGACTGTACGGTATATAGCATAGCTATGTTGCTGCTGCTGCTGCTGCTGGTCTTACTGGTGTTGCTGGTTTACTGGCATGGCTGCTGCATGGTGTTTCCAATCTTTATTCTCACGATGGCCTGTGGCCAACAAGAGATAATAACTATAGTGAGATTAGTATGATGTGGAAGCTTCATGGCTAGCAGTGATCAAACTAGATGTACGGGTGAGCGTGGCTCGTGCACGAGCAGATTGCGTTGCTGCTGCTGCTGTTGGTGTTGCTGATGATGACATTTCCGCATTTCCACAGGAATCTCAGCGACAGTCTCTGTTTCACTGGCGAGGAAACAAGCTCATGGCCGTCCGCTACAAACAATTCAAGGTACGTCGTATGGCTGTTCCGAAAGCAGATCTCACGTTTCGGAAACGTCTTATTTTAGCGGCAGCGATATTTTAGCGATTTTAGGCTTTTTAGCGAAAGGAGTGTTTTCGCCAAAGTTTTGCCACGCCAATCGAATTATTCATGTACCAGCACACTGCTAGCAAGAGTCCATAATCCCCCCAGAGTGCGCAACTTCACTTATCAGATCTGGGACTGCGAAATCCGTGTTCCACGCCATATGACATCATGAGCACAGTAAAACCTATGAAGGCGACCATTCGGATAAGGCGACCACCTGTCCTAGAAGACCACTGCAACCAGGACCAAGGGATGCTATTTCCAGTCAATTGGCCCTGGATAAGGCGACCACCTGATGACAGAGACGACATTTTTGAGGTCCCTTGAGCGGTCGTCTTAGACATGTTTCACTGTAGGTGAAGTGTGGACCGTGGTGCACCGCGTCGATGGAAGGAGGCAAGTCCGACCCAAAAAATGATGTACATCACGGATTACGCCGTCCCAGATCCCCATCCCAGTTGCGCACTGTGTGGGATTGTGGACTCTTGCTACTACTAGTAGCCACCTTAGTTTTTTTAATCTGAAACTCGAATTGGTCCTGATTCAATGCTGATCTTGTGTAGGCACATTACTTCACAGAGGGTGACTTGGAATGGAACTCGCCGGCATTGCGTGCGCATGACCCGCCAATTCTCTTTGACGTAAGTTGTTGCTTTTTAAAAGTGTCTCTCTTTGTCTGTCCGCCAGTCTGTTCTCATCTTTCTGTCTGTGTCTGTGCGTCTCTTTCTCACACAATCCTCCCCCCCCCCCCCTCATGAACCTTGCTCAGTTTGCGGAGTTCCCTGGTCACATAATTATGGTCATACCCTTCTGCATTTCGCCAATCTCTCTCTTTCTCCATCTCTCTCTTTGGTCTGCATTGAGCTGTTCACTAACTGACATTCCCCGACAAATGTCCGACTTGCTGACAGAATAATCTGAGATAACCTTGCACCCTGGGTTGCAAACCCCGTGACCAGCGCTTTGCAAGAGCCCGCGCCTTTCTCAAATCGAACTATCCCTACTGTAATGACTTTCACAATGTTGTCCATCTCCAAGCTGTCCCGCTGTCACTCTGCTCTCGTAAATCCATCGAATTGCCCTGCATGGCTTGACATACATGAAGACAGCGGTTATTGACTTGTGCAGGTGGGACTCCAGGTGTGGGAGTATCCTTCCAGCACATTTGGTACTTTGGAGTAGTAAAATGACCACTCCCTCGTTAGCAGCATTACAATTGTCGTGTGTTTTGGGTGTTTATATTGTGTGCACATATTTGTGGATGGTGCAGATCGAGCAAGACCCGTCTGAACGCTTCTTTATTACCGCCAAGGACACCAAATACAATATCACAGAGATAATGGCTGCTATCAACAAGGTAAGAGAGAGAGAGAGAGAGAGAGAGAGAGAGAGAGAGAGAGAGAGAGAGAGAGAGAGAGAGAGAGAGAGAGAGAGAGAGAGAGAGAGAGAGAGAGAGAGAGAGAGAGAGAGAGAGAGAGAGAGAGAGAGAGAGAGAGAGAGAGAGAGAGAGAGAGAGTTGACTGACAGACATTCTGGCAGAGGGACAGGCAACAATAGTAGTACAAGTCTATCCGTGCTGCAGACATTCGGTTTTGGTGGACAATGGTTGAAACAAATTGGCAGATTCTGCTCAAAGAGCATTGAAATTGGCAGAACCATACAGAGGTTACTAGTAGGGCAATCATTCCCTAGAATTCTGCTCCTCTTCTTTTCTGTATACAGGTGTTCAGGTGTTCTAGTTGTTTCTTCGTTCTCCCTGCATGCAACTTTGTTATCTTTCTTGTTATTAATTTTTGTCTCGAGCCGGGTTTGCGTTCTTTGTAAATTATTATTTATCATAATTATTAAAAGCATGTCCGCGTAGGTGGCGGGGGGGGGGGGGGGGGGGGGCACTTTCGCATATGCCATTCAGGATTGATGTCTGAAGAGAAATACAATACAATGAAAAGACAGAAGTGACGTTGACAAAAGCCGTTAGCAACAATACCAATTGGCCTAATGGAAAACTTAATCGAAAGTATGAAAATAAAAATAGAATATACATACACACAACATGTCTGGTGGAATCACGTAAATCAGTCCTGTTAGGTGGGGCGGGCTCCACGCCATGCCTGTCGGTCCGCTGCCATTGTGTGGACTGCGTCAGCATCTAGCGGCTGGTAGAGGGTAAGTCCATGCCATGATGGCAATTTCGTCTGCAAGACCGTTACCAAAGTTGTCCACGGTCGGCCCCTGAAACGTTCAGTGCCCTCGTCGTTGGCCAAGCGAAGATACATATCCACTGCCAGCTGTGGAGGAGCAGTTGGGGCCAAACAAAAAATATGGCCAGCGAGACTGTAGCGCTGCCTCTTAGAGAGTTTATGCGAGACAAGGGGCGATCCGGGGGGCAAACCAGTGGGCTAAGGGCACCCGTTGTTTCAATTGCGGGAAGTTGGGCCACATTAGGGCCGAGTGCCGGCAGCGGCGACCGCAAGGCCGCCAACAACAGTTTCTTTGTGAAAAAAAATAAAAAATACAGGTACCAAACATGCATGAAACATTCCCGAAAATTCTGCCGACTTTTCAGCCAACATTATCCATCCACCAAGGGCTATCCGACTGCAGTATTGGGCATGTGTATGTCTCATACGAGCTGGCTATGGACTAAAATAAGATGTCCTACTGTATTGAGATGTTTACCGCACGTTTGTGTGCATGTGTGTGTGTGTGTGTACGAATGTGTGCGTGTGTACATGTGTATGTGAGTGTGTGCATGTGTGTACGTGTTGTTTGTGCATAGGTCAAAGATGAGCACATGGCAGATGTGAAGATAGCACCACCACAGATGAACACTTGTGACAAGTCTGTAGCACTGTGGAAACCCGACCTACCAGTGCCACCGTCCAAACCATACGACTGCTGCCAGGACCCCTGTTCGTCATGGTAACATGGGCCATGTTTGCCATGGTGACAGGACCCTGGTTGTCATGGTGACTGGACCCCTGGTCATCTTGGTGCCAGGACCCCTGTTTGTCACGGTGCCAGGGCCCCTGTTCGTCACGGTGCCAGGACCCCTGTTCGTCATGGTGACTGGAGCCATGTTCGTCACGGTGACTGGACTCCTGTTCATCATGGCGATGTCTCTGTGGCGCCACGCAGTGTCTTGTTCTTTGCCGAGAGTTTCTGTTCTAGACTTGTTGGGGTAGCTGGCATGGACCGGTGCTGTCCAAAATTCCTAACATTTGGTCTTCCATTATTTATCCGTGATTGCATTGGCTCATCGTCCCAGTTCAAATCTCCACATTGTATCAATTTTCTTTTAAAGCCGGTACATGTGCGGTACGGCTATGATCCCAACTACTACTCAATAGTTGCTGAGTGGCTATGCACACGCCACCGCACGGCCACGCACTGATTCAATTCCTGGCGGTGATACTGATCATCAAGATATTTAATTTAAAAATCTTGTTATCGGGATGACCCAAAGGTTGGTGTCAAGTCTTCATTCTCCTTTCGTTCTCCAAACGTTTAAGCCATCCGTGAACTACACAGGGGCGTCAGATGGTAATTTAGTGTGGTACGGTCAGCCATCTGAAGTACAGTTGTGGCAAGTGAAATCCGACACTTGGCATAAGGGACTGCACCATGCAGTCTGCAGCCCCTGCAGCCCTGCATACGTACAGTACATGTGTTACATATGTACATACAACTTTATCTGTGCGATGACAAAACTCGTATTCATCACAGTCAAGGTTTTAAGGTGCTGGCAAAAATGAATGGGGATTGGATACCAATACTCTTATGTGTACCATATTTGTGAACTGTGTGTATCTACGCTGTGACCTTTCGATCTGTTCGGGATGCATACGGCTCTACAGTACAAATTAGGTGCAGTGCATTACATCATTGGTGTCCATTTGTGGCGCTGTCCCCTATGGCAAGTGTCGGATTTCACTTGCCACAACTGTACAATAATTTGTGAATTTACTCATGGGGGAGGGTTGGATATTTAGAGCCCATATCAATGCATTTTATCGGTTCACAGGGTACTTGGGGCAAATAGCGGTGCGGTCAAGCGGTGCGGTCAATACCGTAGTGACCGTACCGTGTCCGATGCCTCTGCTACAAGAGTACATTTTGATACTGACATGTCACACTGTGATACGTCATGCTGTACTCAGTAGTGCGCCGGATAGATATCCCATGCAAAGGGATACGAGTGCAAACCGTGCTGGCAACTGCAACACAAGTAGCAACCGGAACCAGTCCGGTTGGTCAGGTCGTGGCTGGGTATTCTTTCATTGTTACTACAGTAAAACCTGTCAAGGCGACCACCTGTCCTAGAAGACCACTGCAACCAGGACTAAGGGATGCTATTTCCAGTCAATTGGCCCTGGATAAGGCGACCACCTGATGAGAGAGACGACATTTTGAAGGTCCCTTGAGCGGTCGTCTTAGACAGGTTTCACTATAGTGATCACAAGCAGAGTCGCACAAACCCGTCCGTTGCTCGCAAGTTACTACAGTAGAATGCCAATTATCCAAACGCCAATTATCCAACTATCCGAACGATCAAGTGTCCAAAAGTGCCTGTTTGCACTGGATTTCAGGGACAAACATGAATTTTTAATGATTTTGCCCACCCGAAGCACAGTCCAAATCTGTCCCCGGGGAAAATTGCGATTCCGCGGCCGCGTTTTTTTCCGCGTTTATTGCGATATTTTAAAAGACCGCGTTTTCCGCGATTTTCCCGCGTTTTTTGAACTTTTCTGTTGCACTACACGTACACACAGTGCACTGTTCGGTCAGCAACGTGGCGGCTTTGTACTCAAATATGACGAGCACTTACGCCAGAGACTTGTAACTGATTGATTTCACTACATATTCACTGAAAATTGCCTCATATCAACTGCAAACTTGCCGCCGCGAGATGATATCAATAATATTCACCGCATATTTACCGCAAATTATGCCACATTATGCCGCGTTTTTCCCCGCGTTTTTTTGCGATTTTTTTCCGCAATTTTCCCCGGGGACAGTCAAATGGTACACATATTGTGTAGCAATGGTCACCATTGAGAGCATAATACCCGCTTAGACAGTGCCAAGTGCAGGGCCGCTTTTTCCGTTGGACCCCACGGACGGCGAGGGGGGTGGGCCGCCCGTCTGGGAGTCCCTTGCCCCGCTTGTTTAGGTGCTGGGTGGCTTTCTAGGGCACAGGGCGGCTCCCAATAGGTTGGTGCATTCACCCTCCCTGCTGCTAAACTTCCCAATTAAATAACTCAGTTTTAAATAAGACCCACACACAAAAGTGACCACACATGGAGTGACTCCATGCATTGAAATTCTACAATGGTGCATTGCCTTGTTTTGTGAGTTGTGAGTAAGTCGCTTTTGAATGTGTGTGGGGCCGGAGTCTTCATCACTCAAAAAATTAAAATGTGAAAGTAATACAATCATGTAGTCAGGTTTTCAAACTGTGTTCAAGTGTGCACACTTGACTGACATTGCACTAAATCGACTGGTACTTGCACACAGCTACTACCAAGAGCAGATAAACTGTTTATCTACTCTTGCTACTATTAATAGCACTACTAGTACTACAGAAACCTTTGGATTTCCGGCTGAGGAACAACTGGCCTGTCATCATTATTATGAACGTGGCTGGATGGGGAGCTCCCTCCCAGTCATCGTGCACGATCTCCCATTCACTCACTCTTTTCTTGCTGCTTGAGTCACTGGAACGGCATGCCGGTGCAGTGGCGATGGTCTGAGTCATCTCTCTGCATCTGGCACCTACAAGTATTGCATGGACAATGGCAAACGTGGCCATGCACCATGGCATGAGAGTTGTCGAAATACCAGCACATGATGTACTGCTTCTCGATAATACTGTCGACGACTCATCAGCACGAAAATACTGAAGCCGAAAACGGAAAAGCCTCGGAAAGGTCGCACATGCATGTGCACATACAATAATGCACGCATGCATTATCACTATCAGTCGTTTTGAAGAGTACAAAACTGTACAATGACGATCTACTACACATTTCAACAAAATTATTTATCTTTTGTATGGTTGGTTCTTCTCTCGACCTCACAGTCTTGTGGTTTCTATCACAATCGAGTATCTTTCGCCATTCGTTCAGCTTGCTCCCCTTCCCTTCCACACATGCTAGAGAGCCTTGCTTCAACCAGGGCGGCCAGCGTACTCTATGAAAAGATTGATCCACTAATATCCATTGAGAATAAATTGAGTACTTGCACTAGTATTTGAGGAAATAGCTGAGAAGGAAGTCACTAAGCAGGCAGAATGCTTAGGTAGCTCATCGACTGTAGGGAAATCGTCACTGGCGCGGAGCTAAACCATGTCGACGGTGAGTATTCGCTTTCTCTGGCACCTATGCTATCCCGCTTCATACGCTATGCTTGTTCTGCACTTTGTTACTAGTTTGTATGCTGCCTCGCCGTACTACGAAACCATCACATAATGCATGATTGTATTTTTGAATCAGTTGCGTATGTGACTTACTTTGGCGAGGGGAGTTATGTTCACGGGTTTGCGTGGTTGGCTTGTGTGTTACACTCACGCATCGGGACAGCCAAGACAGACTGCCACACGATCTGTTCATTGCCTTTTACACCTGGCTGGAAAGGACAATGACTGTACATAAAATTTAATTTTGCTTTACCTGATGCACTGTCACCACTGCATGCATTTAGTTCCATGGGTGGAGCACGTTGATGGAAACAATTTGCTGTGCTGAGTACTAGGTGTGTGTGATGTGTGTGTGTGTGTGTGGGGGGGGGGGGGGGGGGGGGATAAGTGGGATCATTTCCAAGTCCACCCAGAGTTTTGGGGCGTTGGGCGGTTCAGTAGCCAATTGAGTCATCTTTCCAAGATTCCTTTTGAGTCTCTCTCCCCTCTCCCGAGGAGACCCACGTGACCAGTTTTGGCAGTGAGCAACAAGTACAAAGTACAAGCGTGTGTGTGTGCGTGTGCGTGCGCGCGCATGTGTGAAGCCGGTCACATGTCCCCTCATACGAGGGGCCGACAGGCATGGGGTGTCGGCACATGTACATCCCAGCGACAGTAGTTGAAGTCGCACCAAGCAGGGTAGATCCACGTTCATCCTAAAACTGATGAACTGACACAGAATCTACAATAATAGTGTACGAGAAAGAAAAGCATACACACTTGATCATACTTCTGCCAAAAAAAGTATTTGAAAAAATAAATTCGCCGTAGCTGATCCCATCGCAGCTGAAGATAGGAGTTGCGCACTCTTCGTTATGTACTGTAAAACCGGAAAATTTTCGGTGGAGATTTATTTTCGGTAACTTCGGTACGGGTAATTTTTACCTAAAAAAACGCGACCTAAAATTCAACCGTGCCATGCCAGACAGTGTGCGAAATGCATTTTTGAGTGTAGAAAACTGGTTTACTTCTATTTTCGCGCTACCAAACCGTTGATTTTGGGAAGTATCGAAAATATTACACAACCGAAAATTCCCGGTTTTACAGTACAGTCAACTTCGCTAATAACGACTGCGGATATAACGACAATTCGCAAATAACGACAGAATTTCCATGCCCAGAGCAAAGTCCATTCTACCTGTATACATATAATGAGACTTCGGGTATAACGACACTTCGCGAATAAGGACACTTTTCTAATGCCCCGCCTAGTGTCGTTATACGCAAAGTTGACTGTACTCTTGCGGCAAGTAATTATCAGTGGCAATTTATCACAGTCTAGCATTGCCTTCCATGCTGAAGGGAGGAGAGGTAATCCCCACGCTTTGTTTTTCTGCATGCACCGATGTCATGCATGAACGTGACCTGCGCGAGGCTGAGCGCAGGCATGCGCGTTTCATGTGTGTGTGCGTGCGTGCGCGTGCATGTGTGTGTGTGTGTGTGTGTGTGTGTGTATGTATGTGTATGCGTGTGTGTGTGTGTGGTGTGTGTGTGTGTGACTTTCCAAGCTGTTGAATGGTACAATCCCAGCACAAGTTGCTATGGTTTCTTCTGTGGCATCGCTATCATCGCCTCCGGCGATGGGCGTCAAATGGTCAATGGTGTGTGTGCGCGCCCCGAGCGCTCGCGCGCACGCGTGTGTATGTGCGTGTGTGTGTGTCTCTCTCTCATTGTTTCTTGCACAATTTTTTGATGTCCAGTTGGAAGACTTGTTGACAGATGGTGCGCCGTCAGAGCTACTGGACCCTATAACGGAAGTCCTGCTTCGTGACCCGGTTCAAATCGAGGATGAGGTCTTTAGCCGCAGCACCTTGGTAGATCTGGGATGGAAGCATCCAACCACCAGGGATGTAAGTCACAGCTTTTGCACTTATTGCGTGTGTGTGCGTGCACGTGCGTGTGTGTGTGTGTATGTGTGTGTGTGTGTGTGTGTGTGTGTGTGTGTGTGTGTGTGTGTGTGTGTGTATGTGTGTAAGTGCAGTGCGGCCCGTCAACTTCCTGTCAGCCAACAGCCTGATGCAAAGTCGTGTCAACGTTGTGGTAGATGGTTCAAGAGTGCTGGTGGGCTGAAGGTACATAAGTGCCCTCTCGCAGGTTCCTCCCAACAGCCTTCGGACTGTGTCGATCCTGCACCTCGACTAGTGCTTCAACACCAACATTGTTGCCCATTCCACTGCCCGTCATGTAACTGGTGCTTTCGATCTGCTGCTGGATTTAAACGGCACAATTGCGAGCGTGGCAAGCGACCAACAGCGAGGGAGCGTCTTGAGTTCAAGTTCTGCTGTGCGTGCGGCGAGAGATATCGCAGACAGCAGGATCTGCAGCGGCATGAAGCCGGATGTTCTGCCGCGACGCCGTGATGCTACCCCTTTGTTCCCCTCCTCATCAGGGCAGCTTAGCCGTTTAACGGCAGCTGTTTGTCAATGTCAAGGTGTATGTGTGTGTGTGGCTCCAATTTCACTTCAAGGTACCAGTGCATCTAGTGTCTGCTTCTATCAAAGCAGCGTGCTGTCTATACTGGTTACCCCAGCAAGTGTCTTGGCCGTTTTATGCCGATGTACTCCGTGTGGTGTAGACCAGGTGTGCATTGGTGGTCGATTCACATGGCTTCGCCAGTTGTGTGGATTAGACAGTTATCTGGCGCACGTCTTGATCTGTCTCATTTAGATCTTGTTCGCTATCGTTGCTATAAGGGAAAATCTGTGGGTGCACATCCAGTGCATTTGCAGATTTGCGTGCTTCTCTTGCGACGGGCGTATCCATGGTACATGGTGTGTGTGTGTGTGTGTGTGTGTGTGTGTGTGTGTGTGTGTGTGTGTGTGTGTGTGTTTGTGTGTGTTTGTGTGTGTGTGGGGGGGGGGGAGATTTGTGTGTGTGTGTGGGGGGGGGGGGGGGGGGCGTGCGTACGAACGTGCATGTACATTCGTGTGTACGCGTGTGTGTTTGCTTTTGTGTACCTGGATCTGTATGTACATGCGCCCATTCGTGAATTCTCAAATCATGCCTGTGCTTCTCTCTCTCTATCCTTCGCAGACTCTTTCGCCGGGTGATATATCGTCGGCGGACCAGGCGGCCGCCAAGGTGGAACGCTACATCGCCGACCGGCTGCGCGAGAAAATCAAACCCCTGCTGCTGGACATCGACAATGAGCGTCAGCAGGAGAGCGACGTGGACACGCTCCTGGAGCTGCTGAAGGCGTTTGAGCGCCGTGCCAATCTCCAGTGTGTGCGCGACGCCTGCTCAGCGCTCGCCGGTCGTCTGGACACGCTGCGACCATACGAGTTTGACACGGTCGCGGAGCTCGCGTGCAACTCGCTGCTCGCCGAGAATGCCCTGGACACGTTGCTGACGTTCTGCCGGCAGCATTGCCATAGCAACAACATCCTAATGACGCTGGACATGCGCGCCAGGCACCACACCGGTGTGAGCGGTGGTGACGCGGGAATATCCATGTCCGTGGATCAGCTCGAAGATTTCTCGCCGCAGCCCTCGTCCGGTGGTGGCTCGTCCTACACATACTCCGGTGGTGGTGGTGGCCGTGGTTACGACGTCAATACATACTCTGGCGGTAGTGGTGGCGGTGCGCCGTCCACCACCGGCTATGGCGGCACGGCCGGTAGTCATGGTTACGGGAAGTCGTCTCTCAAGCAAGTGCAAGCCGGGCAGCAGCAGCAGCGTCGACAGCCAGCGTCATCGGCTGCGTTTCCGTCATCCTCCAACTCTCCCATCCGTCCTCTCATGAGCAGCACGGGTAACGGTCGTCACTCTGCTCATAACGCTGTGCCCCAGCAGCAACATCAGCCACAGAAGCAGCAGGCAGTGCTCGAAGTACACGAGCTCCAGCTGAAAGGCATGCCGTTGGATATCGACCCGCAGCAAGTGACGCGTCGTGTTCACAAGTACAGCCGTGACCTGTCCAGCTTCACCGTGTCTCGCTCAGCTGACGGCATGTCCTGCGTTTCTCTCAAGTTTACATCGTATGACAGCGCCTGCGAGGCCATGCGTCTACTACTGGGTAAGTGTTAATGCAGCACATGTTGCTGCTGCTGCTGCTGCTGCTGCTGCTGCTGCAGCTGCTGCAGCTAATGTTGTTGTTGTTGTTGTTGTTGTTGTTGTTGTTGTTGTTGTTGTTGTTGTTGTTGTTGTTGTTGTTGTTGTTTTTGTGCGGCTGCATTTGTTGTTGTTGCTGCTGCTGCTGTTTCTGTTGCTGTTTCTGCTGCTACTATTGATGCTGTCGATGCTGCTGCTGCTGTTTCTGTTGCTGTTTCTGCTGCTGCTATTGATGCTGTCGATGCTGTTGCTGCTGATGATGCTACTGCGCTGCCAATGGAGTATGTGTGTTTATAAGGGATGCATATGTCTGTTTATGCGTCAACATGTCTGAAGGCATGTGCTCTCGAACCTACTCAGTACTGATTCTTGGAGCTAAGTATAGAGATTTTTCAAATTTTGTTCTTACTAAATTCAACTTCGGATGCATTTATTTTATATTATAAATATGCCATTGAAAACTTTAATAGCAACCACAGCCTCATGGTGAAACTACCGAAATGCTTTGCATCTATTGTATTTGTGTGTGCGTGCGTGCATGCACCTGTCTTTGTGTGTGTGTGTATATGTGTGTGTGTGTATCTGTTTGTTTGTGTGTGTGTATGTGTGTTTGTGCATGCGCGTGTGTCCGCGCTCCTCGTCTTGCTCAGGGGTGACGTTCAGCGGAGTGCGTCCCGACATGACTCTGGAGACCAGAAAGTCCTCCTCACCCCCTCTATCCCGGCCGCCACCAACAGCCGCCGCCAGCAGCAGCAATGCCACCGCCACCACAGTTCCGCCGCGTGTTCACAGCGCGCCCGCGGCCAAAGCACCCACGCTCACGTCCGCTCACACGTCACGCCGCCAAGACGTCAACATCGGCCGCTGGATGTACAGCGTGTGGATGGGCAATCTGCCACGTCCCGTCTCGCCGCTCTACCAGAAGGATGTGGTCGCGCTGCTGGCAAGTCACCATAACAGCGTGCTCGGCGTTCACGTGCACGCCACGCCGAAGGGAAAGTACCTGTTCATCGATCTCGACTCTGAGCGGGCGGCCCGGCAGGTGGCTGGCGAGCTGCGCGGGCGCATGGCCGGGCGGCGCGAGATCGCCAGCAAGTTCAGCAAGAAGCGCCTGGTGTACCGCGCGGGGTCTGCGCACCGCGCCCCGCTCAACCTGGTCACGCTCTACGTCACCAACATCGCCACCGTGCAGCTGGCCTCGGGCTTCCTGGCCGACCAGTGCCCCGCGGCGCACGCCATCGACATACCCATGCCGTTCAAGCGCATGGCCTTCTTCCAGTTCGTGTCGCGCGCCGACGCTCAGCATGCGCTCCGGTCGATACGCACCCTGCAGGCACAGAGCGATGACGGTTGCGGCGGCGCCGACGAACTGTGCAATCTCGACCTGGTCGTCAACGACGACACGCAGGACCTGATAGCCAGCGATCGGCTCACCGACATCTATGAGATGGTACGTGACTGGGACGATATCCAGGCCACCGGCGTCTATCCTAGGCCTAAACCGTCGCCAGTCCAGCGTAGCACAGCCACCAATCATCAGGCGCAGCAGCAGTATCAGCAGCAGAATCCGGTTCACCGACTGCAGCAGCAACAACAGCAGAACATGACCAGCGGTATGGATGACTTTGATGACGATGACTGGGCGCAGGAGGTCGACACTGGCGCGCTACCGCCGCGGCAGGAGTTGCTCCGTACGCATGACGCAGATATATTGACCAGCGGCAGCAGGGGCAGCAGCAATGTACCTGTTCACCCCGTCAACGGTCTGGCTGGCGGTGACGAGGAGGTGTACCAATCCGACGATGATGACTTTCTCGACTTGCCAGGCGTGGACTACTCGTCGGCAGGAACAGCAGAGTTAGCCGCCGATATCGGCGCCATGATGGTGGATGACGTGGATCCGTACGCGATGCCGGACTTCGCCGGGTGAGTGCCGTGTTGATTGCGTTCCATCGTGCTGTGCACACATGGGTGAATCTGAATACACTGAATTTTCTATAGGGAATACAATATATGCCTGGTCATGGTTTGGTGGCGTCCCACGAAGCGGAACTGCAGGCGAGCGAACCTATTAAACTTTTTGTGACGATTATTTATTCGAAGAGTCGACGAGGAGACAGAAGTGTAGAAAATGCACTGACTAAGATAAAGTGCACAGTTATGTTATCATGCATCTTCTATTACAAGCATTATCATCAAGGAACGGTTGGATTATTTATTCCTCGGCTAACGAACGAGTTTAAGAAAAAAGAGGACCATAAGTTTACAAGTTATCCGTTTTGTCCAACACTAACGGCCTAGCTGACGAACGAGTGCGATCCCTTGCTCCCTATTTTTTGAATTGCCGTGCGCTATTCTGTGTGTGCGTGTGTGCGTGCGTGTGTCTGTGTGTGTGTGTGTGCGCATGTGTGTGTGTGTGTGTGTGTGCGCGTGTGTGTGTGTGTGTGTGTGTGTGTGTGTGTGTGTGTGCGTGCATGCATGTGTGTGTGTGTGTGTGTTGTTTGCTTGTTTGTCTCCTTCGCCTGCAGCACTCTGCATCAGCAGGTTGCAGCGATGAGCACCGCTCCACTGTCCTCACACCCAACCAGCGGCGGCCTCAGTGACGTTCACTCCCCTGTCTCCTTGGCAACCAGAGCCAGCAACAGCGGCAAGTCTAATGTCTGCGTCGAAGGACAGGCGCAGCAGCGTGAGCCCAAGTTCACTGCCATCTTCTCAACGAAGTTCCAGAACTTCAAGTGCTTTGCGAGCCTGAGCCAGATTCAGCTGGGCTACCTGACGAAGTTCTTCCATCACCAGCGCTCTCGCGCCCTCGGCAACGCGTTCAACCGTCTGCAGGCGAGGCACGGGTCGGTGATGCAGTTCGACAAGACCACCAACAAGTACTTCTTCCACTCGCGGGACGAGCAGGCGGTGGTGGCGGCGGCGCGCGACATGTCCACCTTGTCTCAACTGCACGAGAGCAGCATACACATGTTAGCCCACCAATGCCTACTGGAGGTATGCACTAGTATGTATGTACAGCAGGGTTCTAGGCCCGGTCAAAATAGTAGGGGTGGGGCATGGGAAACAGTTACTCCCAAACCCTTTCTTCCGTTTTCCAACATTGTGTAAATCGTCCATGCGAAATGCAAACGCACAGGGTGAACCCCCAACCTTACTCCAGACGAATGTGCATTTATGAACCCTCTATCAGTGACTGCAGACTGCAGTTTCGTTGAATGGCATGAAAAATCCTGGACAAATAAGTGGGGAGGGGGCGCTTTTCACAGGGTGGGGGGGGGGGGGGCTCAATCAAAGTAAGAGGCCCCCACCCACCCTCCGTTGGCTAGTAGAACCATGCATGCACATGCAGCCCTGCGAATAACGGACCTTCGCATGGGCACGCATTATGTGCGGTTATTCGCGAGTTGTCGTTACTCGCCAGGTTGAAACTGTGCATTCAAATGGTCACTAGTGACTAGGTCTGAAAGCAGTGTCGCTATCCGCGAGAATGAAGTTGAAGACACCAATGCAGCTATACTTTAAATGTATAGTATCAGTTGTCTGAAGATCGCTATATGGCATGAAACTTTAAGTTACGACAATCGAAACGCGTGGTTTTCTGTGACTCGTGTGTTACTGCTCTGCTTCCGCATTGAGCACTCTATCGAGCCGGAGGACTCAGCTCTCTGTAAATAGTTTATAAACATGGTGGTAAACACACACCTGGCTATCCGCGAGTTGTTTTTATACCCGAGATTGTTATTCCCGGGGTTGACTGTACAGTCGAACTCCCCTAAGAGGCGGCAACTGTCACGACGGCAGGATTCATCCCGTGCGTATCGCCGCCATGGAGATTCATTCACGTGAACTCGAATTTTGGCGTAAACCTATCCCGCGAGCTATCCCGGTATGATCCCGGTAGTACCGTGAGGGGGGCTGCAAGGTGGAAATGCATGCTGTGGCATTCCGTGTACTGTTTTGTACTACACGTTCTGTACGTGAAATCCTGCCGTGCGAATCGTTTTATTTTTCGTTTTCCCGCGAGTCGCCGCAAACTCTCGGGATCAAGTGCTTCGCTTCCCGGCGGGATGCACTGCCATCGTGTAAATCGCCTCTAATCGGGGGCAGGTGAGGACCGAGCACTGACTGTACCTAGGAATTGCCTGTAATTCTGAATATTTATTTCCTCTTTTCAGACAGTGCACATCAGGGTGTAGTATATGTATTTTACTACTCCCTGGTTCACATCCCCAACTGATTCTTCCAAAAAGTATTGATTGGCTTAAAACAAATGCTTGCTCGCATGCAGTAAGTATGTACAATGCTGCTCAATGAAATCCAGTCGCGTCACTCAAGTTTGCGCCTTGCACCATGTCGCAGTGCAGGTCTAGGGCTGCGCAATTCCCGGCTTGTACTTGAGTGACGCGACTGGATTTTATTAAGCAGCATTGTGTTACATACTTACTGCATGCGAGCAAGAATTTTTTTATGCCAATCAATACTTTTTGGAAGAATCAGTTGGGGATGTGAACTGTCTGAAAAGAGAAAAAAATACCAGACCCACCAGGACTCGAGCCCGGAACCTTGCTTGCCATGAGCAATACTCTAACCAACTGAGCTATGGGACCAGGCCGAACCTAGAAGGTCTGGTGGGGTTCGCATTTTTTTTCTCTTTTCAGGCAGTTCGCTTCCCCGACACTGACTCTTTGAAATTTGAGATTCTCCCAATCCATTTTGGGGTCGTACTTCTGAACAACTCCTTAATAATGTGTTTGTGTGTGTGTGTGTGTGTGTGTGTGTGTGTGTGTGTGTGTGTATGTGTGTGTGTGTGTGTGTGTGTACGTGTGTGTGTGTGTGTACGTGTATGTGGGTGCGCGTTCGTGCTGGCGTGCGTATGGTGTTTTCGCGCAGCACCTGGAAAACGACGTGGTGCCGCGCGTCTGCAAGCAGTACCAGGTGTACGCGCATGTGCGCTCCGCCAAGCACTCTGGCTGCAAGACGTGCGAGGCGTGCGCAGCCCAGCCCGACCTCGCCTACAGTCAACAGCACCCAGCGCTAAAGTGGGACAAGCACCAGTTTCATATCGTCGTAGCCGTGTGCGGGGACCAGGAGAGGGTCGCTGCCGTTGAGAAGCAGTTTCTGGTAAGCTGCAGGACAATGCAGTCAACTTCGCGTATAACGACACTCGGCGGGGCATCAGAAAAGTGTCCTTATTCGCGAAGTGTCGTTACACCCGAAGTCTCATTATATTATTACAGTTGGATGGGACTTTGCTTTGGGCATGGGAATTCTGTCGTTATTCGCGAATTGTCGTTATATCCGCAGTCGTTATTAGCGAAGTTAACTGTAATTTGTGTTTGTAGTGCCTTGACCGCCTTGTTTTCTACCTGTGCTGCTGCTGCGTAATGATGATGTTGTTTGCGGGTGAGAGAGAGGGGGGGGGGGAGTGTTGTTTGTGGGTGTGAGAGAGAGGGGAGTGTTGTTTGTGGGTGTGAGAGAGAGGAGGGGGAGTGTTGTTTGTGGGTGCGAGAGAGAGAGAGGGGAGTGTTGTTTGTGGGTGTGACAGAGAGGGGGGAGTGTTGTTTGTGGGTTTGAGAGAGAGGAGGGGGAGTGTTGTTTGTGGGTGCGAGAGAGAGGGGGAGTGTTGTTTGTGGGTGTGACAGAGAGGGGGGAGTGTTGTTTGTGGGTGTGAGAGAGAGGGGGGAGTGTTGTTTGTGGGTGCGAGAGAGAGGGGGGAGTGTTGTTTGTGGGTGTGAGAGAGAGGGGGGAGTGTTGTTTGTGGGTGCGAGAGAGAGGGGGGAGTGTTGTTTGTGGGTGCAAGAGAGATGGGGAGTGTTGTTTGTGGGTGTGAGAGAGAGGGGGAGTGTTGTTTGTGGGTGTGAGAGAGAGGGGGAGTGTTGTTTGTGGTTGTGAGAAAGAGGGGGGAGTGTTGTTTGTGGATGTGAGCGAGAGGGGGTGTGTTGTTTGTGGGTGTGAGAGAGAGGGGGAAGTGTTGTTTGTGGGTGCGAGAGAGAGAGAGGGGGAGTGTTGTTTGTGGGTGTGAGAGAGAGGGGGGAGTGTTGTTTGTGGGTGTGAGAGAGAGGGGGAGTGTTGTTTGTGGGTGTGAGAGAGAGGGGGGAGTGTTGTTTGTGGTTGTGAGAAAGAGGGGGGGAGTGTTGTTTGTGGGTGTGGGAGAGAGGGGGGTGTTGTTTGTGGGTGTGACAGAGAGGGGGGAGTGTTGTTTGTGGGTGCGAGAGAGAGTGGGGGGAGTGTTGTTTGTGGGTGTGAGAGGGGGATGGGGGGGGGGGGGAGGGGGTGTTTGTGTAGCCTTGAAAATAGAAACCATTCTGCTCTTCTAGTGTTGCTGCTGCTGCTGCTGCTGCTGCTGTGTGTGTGTTGTACTGTGATTACCGGTAGTATACTGATGTGAACTTGTTGTCTTGTCTTGGTTTAATAATAGTCTTTGTTTTGTGCTGTGCTGTGCTGTGTGTGTGCGTGTGTGTCTGTCCGTCTGTCCGTCTGTCTTGGTATGCGCATTCATGTGTTTGAACTATTGTGTGTCTGTGTTGCTGCCTGCACTCTCTCTCTCTTTCTCTCTCTCTCTCTCTCCTACTCTCTCTCCTACTCTCTCTCTCTCTCTCTCTCTCTCTCTCTCTCTCTCTCTCTCTCTCTCTCTCTCTCTCTCCCCACCCACACACACGCAGTCCTATACGCCACTCAACGTGTCGTTTAGCTTATCTCCCACGCGTATGGAGCAGCTACGCCAAGCTGCCAGCCATCGTCACGGCTCGCTTGCCAAGCTGTTCCAGCACCTGGAGGACAAGTACGAGGTGGTCGTCTTCCACCACGCAACCACCTTCCTGGCCATCAGCGGACTGCTCCGTGCCAACGTACTGCGCTGCACCACGGACGTCCAGGACCTTGCGGCACGTGGGTGATCACTCCCCACACCCCCCCCCCCCCACCCCTCGTGCCCTAGTCCCCCGGGCCATTTTAAATAATTTTGGCTACGGACTTCCGGGGCGGGGGCTTCAACCCCTCCCAACCAGCCCGCTCCCAGGGACTGACCCTTGGGCCATATATTTATTTGCCCCGGGGGCCAACTCATGTATGAGTATTAGATGGCTGCCTGTTTCCTGTATCGGTTGCAGTTGTGGAGAGTAAAAAGCCCCGGATTGACTTGCAGCAACGTTCACAAATGGGACAGTGAGCGGTACGGCATGCTTTCCGTATACATGTACATAGCCGTACAGGTCGCACACACACACACACACACGCACACACGCGCAACCTCCCCAGCCCCCCCCCCCATATACACTGATTTGTTTCCCATCCTGTTTCCCTGTCTCCTGCGGCCGTTATTTTTTTAATAGGAATTTTGTTGGGATTCTGGCCGCTGGGCATATATTGACCAGGCATGGGATGGGCTATTCTGGTCATTTTGTTTCGCACGCAATGAACCATGGGGATGCGAGTTAGGATTTTGGCGGCGCGAGAGCCGTAGGATTCTTGCCTGTAAGCAAGGCGACGACAAGGGAGCGAGAAAGACAAAAAGGAATAGGCGTGAATATCGTGCTGCGCCCGGCACACCTGTGAAATACGCCCTGTTTGCCCCCCGCCCTGTTTGCCCCGACTTCGCCGTGCCCTACAAGCCCTGGAGTTTTGCAGCCGAGATATTCTCATACCCACGGCTTCAACCACATAGCCATATTTCTGGCTTGTGCTCATTTTTTTTACGCGTAGATTCGGGCAATATATTTTTTTTCCGTTGCGTGAATAGATAGAGGTGTGATTTCATAGCCGTCTAGTCACTCACTTCATAGCCGTGTCCGTTTGTTCATCCTTTGCAGCCGCAGTGGCGGCAGTGGCAGACTGGGTTTCTATATTTTGCAACATAGACTGTGACACATTATTGTTGTTTTTTGAATTCTTTTTTTCTTTTTGTTGTTGTTACGCTGCCGTGTTGCCAGGTAGTGTTTTATTTTATTTTTTTTTTAGTTTGTGTCTGGTTCTGCCGCCACGTATTCCAGGGATTTGCGTGCCTTATTTTTTCGATAGTTTTCGCCTTAGTTTTCTCATTCTGGAATTCGGTTTTCAAAGGCCGGGCCCGAGCTTCAGTGGCCCTGCACAAGACATTAACACATATACAGTAATTTAGGTAAGGATGGGGAATTCCCCTATGTCTCGTGTGCACAATTCCATACTCGACTATACTATTATCTACCTGGGCTTGCTGTCCAGGTTGCCTATGCTCTCTTTATTAGTTTCAGAGGATTTTCTCAATTGTGACGCACCGGTTTTGAACCTTCACAATACGACTATTATGGTCAATACTAAATTGGTAACCACCCTGTGTTTGTGTGTGTGTCTGTCTGTCTGCCTGCCTGTGTTTGTGTCTGTTTGTCTGTCTGCCTGTGTGTGTGTGGGGGGGGGGGGGTGAAAAGACCAACAAGACTAAGTAGGGATTCTCTGGCCAGAAAAAGCCACTTCAAATAGCTGTGTGGTGTTGACCAGGCCAGGCTGAATAGAGGCGGTCAATTCTTCAGCCTTCCAAGCTGTTGAATAGTGCAATCCCAGCACAAGTACAGACAGTGTTAGTTGCTTTGCCTTCTGCCGTTGCATCACTGTCATTGCCTCTGGCGATGGGCGTCAAAAGGTCAAAGGTGTGTGTGTGTGGCCACTTGGCGTACTGCTCATTGGCTGCTTTCACACATATACCATACACGCGCGATTAGAACCCTCTCTTGAATAGATGTAGTGCCCTATCTCGAATAGGGTTCCAGTCTCCCTGTGTTGAATGCCCCCCGCCCCGAGTTTGTAACCAAGCCCATGTGCAAAGTTGGTGTTCTTTTACTAATACTAGAGAGGTTAAAAGCAGGGAGTCGTAAAATACCGGTATTTTACGACTTCCTGGTTAAAAGACGTATGTCACAGTATTTCTGATGTCACGCGAAACTGTTCAGGTCGCGTTTTGGCTCGCGCGTTGAAAAACAACGCAAGTGACCTGCAGCTCACGTCGAAATTTGGAGTTTTACGCCAGATTTGACGTGAAATTGCACGTCACGTCAGAAATATTGTGCATCTTAACCTCTCTAATGTTCTTGTCCATGCCATTGCACTGGTGGTTTCAGGATCAAAATTTCAGTTCTTGCCGAAGTTGCCGTTTCTTCGGAGTCGTGATAGTTTACACTAAACTTTAGGCTCTGTTTTGCTTTGTTTTTATGCTGGATGACACAAATGGGCCAGCACTGAAAAAATAGTGCCCTCTCGATCTCTTGAATAGTGCCCCATCTGTGATGGACATTGAAAAAATAGTGCCCCACTGCATCTGTGATGGACATTGAAAAAATAGTGCCCCGCTGCATCTGTGATGGACATTGAAAAAAATAGTGGCTGAGTGCTCCAGGTGCACTAATCGCGCGAGTACAGAGTAGCTCTGCTGTTTGAGCAGAATCTGCCAAGGGCTGCCCCCCCCCCCCCCCCCCCCCCAATACTGTGTGACTGTCTAGTCTCTTGATGTTGGACTTGCGAGCTGTCACCACCATCCATGGTCATGCAGCCAAACGCAACATGTTTTTATGACGCCGAAGCGCTAGCACCAGTGCAGTACTGCAGTAGCGGTGTCTGTCAGCGTGGGGGAGTTCCTCTCTGGCCCTGGACCTTCTTTTCTCTGACATGTTTTGTTTTGTAATATTTTTATTGTTGCCTCTGTAGCTGTGGGTACTGGTGTGCATGTGTGGGGATGAGCGGAGTGAACAATTTAGTGTTACTTGTTAGCTGGCTGTCAGTGTCCATGGTGTCAGGGTGTGGATGAACAGGTGTAGTTTATGAAAGTTATTGTAGTCTGCATCTCTGTCGGGGTCAGCCACTGTTACTTGCCCTAATCTCGACTCTCTGAGCGCCTCTAGCTCTGACGACCGCGATGCTTCGGAGTCATCGTCAACAGTGCACTTGCCGTTTGCAGTAGGTTATTGACTGAGCAACGTCAAACTGGGAGGGCACATTAATTGTTTGGACACTAATCTACCTGAAAGAGTACTAGTCGCTGGGAACGGCTGGCCGCTCAGGCAAGTAAAGCGCAGCGCTAGGGGACGGCGTGACCGCTACGCGCTACGATGGGCACATCTCCGTCGCAGCAGCGGGCAAGATCAGCGGCTCCCACCGTGGGAACGGGGTCGAGTTCCCTGGTGCACGAGGTGGAGGAGATGGTCATGGCAGTGTGCTTGTGGCCAGAGAGACTCAACAGTGTTGAGGAGATTTGGATATCGGCGGACAAATACGTGAGTGTGTGGTGATCAAATGGCAAATTCATTGCATATACAGTAAAACCTGTGACTAACGACCACACCTTGGTGCCAGAGAAAGTGGTCTTTAGGGGCAGGTGGTCCTTAGTTAGAGGTTTGCACCGCACAACCATGAATGTGAGACCGTCCGTGCCTGGCGAAGTGGTCTGTAGTACCAAGCTGGTCGCTAGTCACGGTGATCTTTAGTTACCGGTTGTACTGTATTCTGTTTTCGACTTCAGTCGACCATGGTCGGACGTTAGCCATTATGTACCGTGCGCGACGGACACAATGGGCGCGTTCTATTACACACATTTCGGTCAGTTCTAGAATTAGTCATGGTGGAGGCACTGTTCGATAACACTAATTCCGTCGTCAGAATCGACGGAATCCGTTTCCGTCAATTCTGAGTAGAGGGCGGAATTTCTACCTTCCCCGCAGACGCACTCGACGTACACGCAATGCTAGGTCCACGTGCACGGCTGCGCACGAGGGTGCACGGGATCCCATGTGATCCCCATTTTACGAGTTTTACGTGTAGTCGTTCGTTTTGTTCATTCGAGAATTATAAAACCTGGATCCAGAGTGTGTACTGTAGAACGGGTAATTTTCGCGACTATTAATTTTAGCGTTTTCCCATTGCCAACCGGTTAGCGACGTTTTATTTTAGCGATTTGCAGCGATTTTACTCACGGATCACCAGTGCACTACTAATGTCTCAACGGATTAGCGACTTGAAACTTTAGCGAAAATGAGTAGATCGCTAAATTCGCTAGGGTTTTTACGTCGCTAAAATTACCCGTTCTACAGTAAGGCCACACCAAGTTTTTTCATTGTTTCTCGTCACCGCGCGCGTACCTTTCTTGAGGATTGGACCAAAAAAAAATCTCGCGTCCCGGTAAACACGCATAAAAAGGCTTTGTAAAAGTACGCGCGGCGTCAAATCTGGAGTGCAGTGCTAGTGCACGAACCGAAGGACGACTTTTGCACCGTGTATGTACGCATACCGGTAGTTCAAGTACCACACCACCACACGACCTGGTCGTCTTCTTTGCTACACACAGTTCCGGTACAACTTTGGTTTGCTTTCTTTCCTATTTAAATAACATGCAACACTGGACTTCCTCACCAGAGGCCGGTGCAGGAGCCTGGTTTTCTGGCTGTATGTTGCAATTGACTGTCACGCGTGGTGTATAGTCTGATTTTAGGTCATAAATTGGGCCTTTGTAGTGTAAATAGCAGTTTTTGTTTTTCAAACCCTATTTTGTTTTTTTTCCGCCCGCCCGCGTTCCTTTTGAGATTTTCAGGTGACGAGAAACAATGAAATAACTTGGTGTGGCCTAATCGAAAACGCCCATCGTCATGCACAGTGCCGTGCTGCTCAATAAAATTCAAATCAAGCGAATCAAGTTTGCACCCTGCACCAACTAGTACACATCTGCGTGGCATTGCCTTGCTGTAGTTTCATTCAGCTGCACTATACTTCTTTCATTCACACCAGGCGCGTGCCCCGTATGGGTTCCTGCGTGCCCCGTATGGGTTCCTGCGTGCCCCGTATGGGTTCCTGCGTGCCCCGTATGGGTTCCTGCGTGCCCCGTATGGGTTCCTGGGTGCCCCGTATGGGTTCCTGGGTGCCCCGTATGGGTTCCTGGGTGCCCCGTATGGGTTCCTGCGTGCCCCGTATGGGTTCCTGGGTGCCCGGAACCCCCCCTTTTTTCGCTCAAAATGCAAGATTTTGCTTCATTTTTGAAAAATTTCCCGGGGAGGCCCCCCCCCCGGAACCCCTCCTTGAAGGGCACCGGCGCACGCGCCTGCGTGACACAGACTGAAGGACGAGCAGTTGTTTTTCGTAACTCTAACGTATATACTCGGATGGAGAGCCAGGATTGAAATTGAAAAAGAGAGGTCCAAAAGTTTACAAGTTATCTGTTTTGTCCAACACAAACTACTACCGTAAAGTACCCAGTTTGATCCGCCCCCTCTCTAATTGCCGCCCCCTGTCGATTTTCTACTTGTGAAGCGACTTCGGCGTGTACAACGACATACTATAGTGATCCGACGCATGCACTGCTGTATGCAATACGTGCCAGTGCCAGTGCAGGATGAAAATGTGCACAATCCAGCTCATCGAGTCTGAACTTCCACGCTGTTGTACATCGCCGTGCACTTGACAGCCTTGATCTAATTCCCGGCCCCTGGTTTGCATGATTTGCATGCCCGTTAATGCAGCTGCAGGCCATGCTGATGTGTACGCGAACAAGCACAGTGTAGTGATTGTAATAACCCATGCAAACAGTGCTACTGTAGTTTTGTATATCAGACCAGTAAAGTTACTAGCCAATCACTACGTACCCCGGCTCTTGGCTTTGCCACTCCATGCAAGCCTGCACTTAGCTAACTGTGTGTGAGAGCTTGTGTAACTCGTATACTCTCAGCACTCAACGCACATACTTGTTGTTACGTACGTAGTTATCATTCGTTCATTGTCTCACAAGGAGAAGAAGAAGACAAGGCAGTGCGAGTATGCGCACTGCTATCCATGCATTCCTACGGTGTACTATTTATGTGTATACAAATTACGTGTCATAAAGTAGCCATGCTACATTTGCACTCCTTTCCTCATCATCAATTTCCCTTTAAAATCGTTCCTTTCTGCAGGAAGTCAAGGCGTTCGCTGCCAATGGTCGCGGTCAAGCACGCCACCTGCAACGTTGGCAACACGGTGCAAAGCATGGAAGATGCGCAGTGAACGCGGTGAGGATTTCTCTTTTGACCTACCCCTCTACCCCAGCTCCTAAAAGGCACTACAGGAATCTCTCAAAATTCATCGTTCTGGTGGCTCTCCTTTTTTATTTTTTATTTATTTATTTATTTTTTACTATTGAACACTCACTGCATGATGAACTAAAATGAGGAGGAGAACTCGACACAATGGTACATATCCAGCAGGACGGAGAGGGTGGGGCCTGTGAAGCTCAGCCGACCAAGGGTCTCGGCATCACAGCTGCACATGTGCACCAAAGGAAACAAAATGGGGAGTGGAAGAGCGGGGAGCAGGAGAGCAAGAACTCTAAGGGTAGGAAAGAGAGGAGGGGAGGAAACCAGGAAACTTGTTATTCCAAGATATGAGTACGCAAACAAGTACAAGGATAGCAGTATCAAGATCATGATGCTGAGGCGAAAGTAGAGGCTGATTGCCGTGCAGTTTTGACGAAAGATTAGAGTGAGAATGGAGAAGAGTTAGAGAGAGATAAAGACAGATGGATTGGGAGTTTGATGAGAAGGGAGTGCTCCGAGAACATGAACAGGGTCGTACTGGCAGTAGCCTAGGGGGCGATGTCCGTGGCCAATGACCAACCCGACCGTTTCAGGTAGCGGTAGGTCAGAACCTTGAACTGTACATAATTGCGATACCATTATAGGGCAGTGGTCCTTTTGAATCAATCTCCCCCACTATCTCACACTTTCACTCACTCGCTGATTCGTTCACTCGCTCACTCTCGCATACACGCCCACTCTTTCAATTCCTCTCTCCCTCACTCTCTCTCTCTTCCTCTCTCTCTTTCTCTTCCTTCACTATAGATGACTCTCGTGGACAATGGCAGCCTTCTGGTTACATCTGGTCGGCATCCAGACATTCACGTCTGGGAGACCAAGCACATAAGCAAGGGCACAGGCGACGGTTCAGATTCACCTCCGCTCGGCATGTGTGCGCTGGAAGGTGGTCACGATCTCTCCGCAGTTGCCTTGGCAGCGCCGAGCGGCCAATTCGGAAGTAAGCACCACACTTCTTATACTTTCTCTCTACGCCATGGCTGGCAAACGCCCCCTCCTCATCTATATTGGCACTGATTCATCTTTAGCCACGGGAAGGAGTAATAATAATAATAATAATAATAATTTGAAACTCGGATGTTGAGCCATAAATAAATGTAAAAGAGAAAAGGACATATGGATACGAGTTAAGAGTAACTCTCCATCACTGTAACATGATACTATATACAGTCAGAAAGTGCAATAACTAGGCACAAAACTGACAGAGTACTGAGACATTCGACGTCCTGACACCTAACTTCAACACATCTCCGTAGCGCTAACCGACAGCCTTCCAACTTGGAAGGTTCAAGGTTATGGAAAGACCAAAGAGGGGAAGGCAAGCGCAACGAAAACGAGCAAAAGCTACAGTCCCAACGGAACAAAGAATGTCGATTGTTACTGGACGATGACGAGACCAGTACGATATTTGACAAAGCGGTCTAACTACAATTCGAAGCAGCAAAGCAGCACACCACCCAACTTGGGTGGGTCATAAATATCAAAGATAAGTAAAGAAAGGGAAGCTTTGCGAAAACGAATTGTACAAGCCGAAAGCCAAACTCCTACAGTACTCCTCATGCATGACATTGTGATGGACTAGTTGACTACAAAACAAGTTGTTTCACACGACGTACGTTTCGCCGCATGGTTCGTGACGGCTCATCAGGTGTGCAATTTGAAACTCGGATGTTGAGCCATAAATTAGTTAATTAGGTGTCAGGACGTCGAATGTCTCAGTACTCTGTCAGTTTTGTGCCTAGTTATTGCACTTTCTGACTGTATATAGTATCATGTTACAGTGATGGAGAGTTACTCTTAACTCGTATCCATATGTCCTTTTCTCTTTTACAATAATAATAATAATAATAATTATCCATATAAAAACTGCTCTCTGAGCAGTTCTGAAAAACCTATACTGGTGCAGCCCCGTCGTAAAACTATGAAATTAGAACTGGGCCTTTATCCCCCCAATGTGAAATGGTCCACCTAAATAGGGAATGACGGGACCCGAACGCACCAGTAGCACGAGGTCGGGAGGGCACATGTCACCAATACTACTGCAGTGTATCAGTGGCCGTGTACAAATATTGCTATGGGGCTGTGGACCAGCGTCCCCATCTGCATCCATATGTGTAGGTGGGAACCTCGTGCTACTGGTGCGTTCGGGTCCCGTCATTCCCTATTTAGGTGGACCATTTCACATTGGGGGGATAAAGGCCCAGTTCTAATTTCATAGTTTTACGACGGGGCTGCACCAGTATAGGTTTTTCAGAACTGCTCAGAGAGCAGTTTTTATATGGATAATTTCAGTTCTTTTTCCGTTCCCCCACCCACCCCGGGCCCAGCCATGAGGACAACCAACCCATTGAACCACTGCATATTTCCCAGTAAATGAGTGTAGAGCGGTTGCACCATGGAGCACTGTATACGTTGAACGTTCCAGTGTAACGGGTCAGTTTTAGAGTGGGCATTGATATGGTGTCGAGCCCCAACTCCGTCCCGTCGCAATGGGACATTGCAGTAGGGTGGTCACATAGCCAGCTGTGAGCACCCGTGCTTCGGCAGTGCGTGGCACTGGCACGCACCTCCTGATCAGCAGGTCATGCTGCCCGACTGCACATACGTGTATACACTCACACAGACACGCGTACAGTTGGCGTGATATGGACCAATGTACATACGCACAGGCAGAGGCGTGAAGAGACACACGGACAAACGGAAGCACAACAGTACGCATTGTTGTAGACAGGGGTGCATAAGCGCACATGCACATTGCGGCAACCGTGGGCCGCACCACGGCCCGCGCATGCGCCGAAATCTCTGTCGTCAGTGACGGGGCCAGTGAGACCACGGCACACCTCCCCCCCCCCCAACACACGCACAAGGGAAGACATAAATGAACGCACACACACACACACACACACACACACACACACACACACACACACACACACACACACACACACACACACACACACACATACACACACACACACACACACACATACACACACACACACATACACACACACACATACACACACACACACACACATACACACACATACACACACATACACACACACACACATACACACACACACACATACATACACACACATACACACACACACAGACGCGCGCGTGCACACACACACACATACACACACATGCACACACACACACATACACACACACACAGACGCGCGCGTGCACACACACACACATACACACACATGCACACACACACACACACACGCGCGCAGAGGAGAGCAAACACGGACATGTTGTGCAATAGCACTTCAGCGGACTTAATTCAACACATTGGCTTTCGGACGAAACATTTTTAATTGCATCAATGCTGTCGACGCTGCTTCAATGGCCAAGTGATGCGTGGCGATTGAAACTATGGCGACCTGGACACGAACGCAGGGAGAAGGCAGAAGAATGCGTGTTTAGGCAACAGACAGAGGTTGTGAAGCATTCACCCATTGCATACCACCGATGCGGGAAGTTCAGTACTTGCGGGTTATGGAAAATTTCCCTTGTCCAACGATTTAGCACAGGTCGATGTTGCAGACACCAAGGTGGAAATGTGTAGGCACAATGCGGAGGTTTTCACTCACATAACTTGTTAGTCTGTTCATGAGATTTCCCACAAATCCATCGCAATCTGCAAGGGGGAAGGGACCACCTCCTCCTTTCGCCTTAGCATGTGGCAAGAAATGCATGCAAACACAGGTACGTTACACACCTTCTCCTCGAATGCCGCATACTGTTCGGCATGCCTAGTAATAATAGCATTTTCATCCAAACATAGATCGTGGTCGACTGTCATGCCCATTTGGGGCACAGCAATGTCTTTGAATGCGTCATCAAGGTACTTTCCTACCGTGAAATGGTCCCACACACCCGCAGGATACAGTCTGGTAACCTCAGCAACCATGCAATACATGTCGTTAAGGGTGCACTCACGAGCTAGTACATCTGTCAAGGCCTGCCGCGCTAGACATGCACGCTTCACGGCTGTTGCACTGGCGTACAATTTAGATGCTACATTGGAATGTGGCCTCATATGGTACAAGTTGCACCACAAGCTTCTGCATCCACTGTCAAAAGTGCAATTTACAGAATACCCGGTTTTGCACGTGGGAAGGCACCATTTCAAGTTGCGATCGACAATTTCGCATTTAGCACATGGATAAGGCATGTGGTCCACGTTCCTACTCTTTGACATGCGCGATTCAGCAAACAAGTTTCCCAACATGTCGCCCAAGTTCCTTTTCTCGTCGACGCACCCAGTAACCAGGTCACAAAAGTCGCGTATCTGAAGCGCACTACCCTCACGCACCTTGCACAGACCATCGCACTTCTGCAGCTCCACAAGTGTCAGTCCATCATCGTCGGGAGACACAACTTCAACTTGACCTGCCACTTCTCCCCCATCTGGCGACTGGACAGTGTTGTGTGCCTTGCCAGTGATGTCAGTAATTATAGGCGTCAATAATTCACTACCATCGCTCCCCAGACAAATGCGCCACGAGTCACTATGATAAGGTTGTGCCCTGCTGTCATGATGGTGACAGTCACCGCGGTATGTTTTGTCAACGTCACCCGTGCACTCTTCCGTCAAGTCAAGTGTGCTCACATATTTGGCAAGGTGTTTGCAGCGATTAACTTCTATCCTAGTTATGTCACGGGTAACTTTAATTAAGTACCCGCAGACCTTGTCAATCCGAACATCGTCCACTCTCTCTGCATCGTCCAGGAGACGAGCGTGAATAGCGTCACGGATCACGTCTCGCTGACTTCCTCTCGTGTCGGCAGTGAAAGTGTACAGTGGTGGTGAAATAGGTGGAAATGTAGTTCTGTCGGGATCAGCGCTTTCGGAAGGATGCCATGTGGGGAGGCCAAATGCAGCGTCCGGAACATCGTCCGCACTGCCTATAATGTCACACATGTGCAATGCTGCACGCGGGTTTTTTTGCGCGGTATCTTTATGTGTGTCCGTTCCTTTGCCCGTGTTCTTCGTAATCGCTTTTGCGGGGGCACTTTCGCTTTCTTTGCAACAGGCCCATGCTTTTTCCCTTTCTTTTTCGATGTCTTAATGCACGCGGCGGGCTCTTTCACCCGCGATCTCGCCTGCTTTGCTTTCTCCCGAGATGTCACCATGTAAGCGGCCTGCTTTGTCTTTGCGTGTCCAGGCGCAGTTTCTGTATGTCGCCTTGGTGGTTCATGACTACGTGTCTTCTGGCCAAATCTCGCCATGTACTTGGCCTGCTTTGTCTGTGTATCCATTTCATGTGCGACCAACAAAATCTCAATGCACTACAGAGACTAGACAGTGGGTGCAATACGCTCTCTATCTGAAGACGTGAACCATTACATTTTTTTGAAAAGTTATACGTACACCTGAAACGTAATGATGTACAGGAATAGAGAGAGTGACTACAATACGCTCTCGACCTGATATAGTGATAACGTGAGTACAAGACACTCTCCACCTGATAACGTGTTAGAAGGTAATAGGTCTACAGTCCCACCGTACCCTTCCTACACGACTGTAGACCATTACATTTTTTTACTACAATACGCTCTCCACCTGATAACGTGAGTCACAAGACACTCTCCACCTGATAACGTGTTACAAGGTAACATGTCTACAGTCCCACCGTACCCTTCGTCATTCCTCATTCACCATCGCGCGATACCCTGGCACACACTGGCAACATATCAATGGGGTGCCTTACCGTCGTCTAGAGGAGACGTCTTCGCACCAATATTTTCCCTCCTGCGCATTCAGTCGCCGACGCGACAGCGTTTACGGGGCCGTTCCAGTTGCGGAAGACATTCGATTCATCGGGCCAGTTCAGCAACAGGGCCGTGGACACACAGGGGCAGAGGAGAGACAGGCAACAGGGCCGTGGACACACAGGGGCAGAGGAGAGACATTGTTAGTGGACAAGAAATATGCAGCGGCAAGTGGCGAGTGCCGCATGGATGTCAAGTTGTCATGCACAATTCAGCTATTACAAACAGTCCCCCTAGTCCTGCCATTGCTCGCTCGTCCTGGTTCGTCCTCGTTCGTCTTCCTGCACGTCTGCACTTCTCCTTCCCCACCGTTGGCTTTGCGGTACGGGGGTGCCGGAAGGAATTCCCACCATGTATCCATGTACATGAAGTCCCACCATGTCTCCATGTACATGTCCACGGCCACGTCAGCAGTTTGTACCGGAAGGAGTTCCCACGATGTCTCCAAAGGCCTAGAGGGGACGTCTTTGCAGCAATTCTTTTCACCCTGCACATTCACTCCGCCGACACGACAGCGTTGACGGGGCCGTTCCAGGTGCAAAAGGTCCACTTCAGCAGTTCTCAACTATTTCGCGTACGGGGTAGTCGCCGCGACAGCGTTTAAGGGGTCGTTCCAGGTGCAAAAGGCATCCATCAATGGCACTTTGCAGTACGGGGTACGGAAAGGGGCCTCCTCGCAGTTGTCCTTGCCGTCAGGTCCACGTCATGCAGTTCTCAACTATTTCGCGTACGGGATAGTCGTCTTTGTCGTACGCGACATCGGCGTTTACCGAGTGGCATTGGCACAAAGCTGACCGTTGACGGGGTCACGTGTCCAAAAAGTGTCAACAACGTGTCGACTACGTGTCGACCACGTGTATAGCGGTACACTCAGCGGTACACTAATTCTCGTGCCATTCTCGTGTCACAAAACTGGAACATCGAGTACCAGTATGGAAAGGCTTCAGACAGGAAGCCTTTCCAATAACTGCTGCTGCTACACGTTGATCCATTCTCAGCTATCATGTGTCATGAAAGGTCAGGCACGTAGCATCACCGTTGGAGGTAGTCTGGGGGGGGGGGGGAGGGAGGAGGTGTCCCCGGGAAAAATTTGAAATTAGGGTGCAAAATCCTGCAGTCCGGGCACTTTTTTCATGGTCGGGCGAAAAAGTGGTCTGGCCAAAGCCCGACCACCCGGACCGGCTGCTACGCCCCTGAAGGTATTTTCGCTAGGGATGTTGGTAGAGTGGCCAGACCAAACCCCAGGTGCCTTCCCTCTGCCCCATTGTGCATTGCCAAATACGGAAGGTATGGCTAATGCATGTGAGCACGCTGGAACAAGCGTTTTTGTTGTCTTTTTTACTAGAAAAACACAGCCCTACTAATAATCAGGGGAAGAGGACAACCGAAATGACACTGGACAACAAGACAAAGGGGAGTAGGGGCGATGTGTCGATGTGGTTGGCGAGGCTCATCCGACCGCATGTGCACTGTTCAACACCCCAGACAACCATGCCCAGGTGCAGGCTGTGTAGGGTGTTCGCGGTGCAAATTACGTCATTGCGCAGTGGACTAATTCTGTGGCTGTGAAAGGTGTTTATGGTGCTAATTACATCATGGCGCGATGGACTAATTCTTCAGAAGTCATCAAATTCATTTTAAATACCACAAAGCAAAATTTGTTATGGTAACATAGCAAATTGACTTTGTGATATAAATGAGCTCGATTGCTGAACTTCTATCGGCGCACAGCAGAACGTTTTCTGTTTGTGCCATGCTATACCCGTATTTTGGAAGGATTTTTCAGCCGTGCTGCGACCCACAGTTAATTGGGAACTCGTGGCCTGGCACGGGGGAAACATGGATGCAGTGAATGGGATTTTCGCTCTGTGACCGCTTTGTGGTGGGTCTGATCTACTCACCCCCCGCTGCTTAGGAGCTGCATCTGCGCCTTGATCTAGGAGGGCAGTGGCGTTCCCTCGGATACGGATCCGAGTCGCACGCGAACCGTGACTTTTTTGAATACCTGTCTTCTGCCACCGTAGTCTTGCACAGTCTTTGGCAAGTCTCTCTTCTTTATTTTCGGGGGTAGGTCTCATGTACTCACCTGCCACCGCTTTACGAGATGCATCTGTGCCTGGGTCCTTGAGGGTGGTGGCATTCCTGCGCATGCGGAACACTGGGTTTTATTGAGTTTCTGGCGAACCTCGACTATATTTCTCTCTTTTGTTTGTCATGCAACACCTGTCTTCTCTCGTTGTGGTCTTGCACAGTATTTGAATGACTTTCTTGCTTAGTTGCTGCATTGCTTACGTTTGGGGTGTGTGTGTATGTGTGTGTGTGTGTGTGTGTGTGTGTGTGTGTGTGTGTGTGTGTGTGCGTGTGCGTGCGCATGCACGTGTGTGTGTGTGTGTGTTTGTGCGCGCGTGTGCGTGCGTGCATGCGTGTGTGCGTGTGTGTGTGTGTGTGCATGTGTGTGTGTGTGTTCAGATCTGCAAGACTTAGTATCCGGAGCGAGGGACACTGTTCTCCTTCACTGGGACATCAGCAGGAACCACGTGGTCTCCACTAACCGGAGGTCTCGCAATGTGGTGAGTTCCAGGAAGGGGGGTTTGGCGTCCCTGTGTGTGCTGAGGTCGGTCCTTGATTGCGCGCCACCAGCATGTCACGTGATGGGATTGTTGTTATGCCTGTTCAGGTCATATGACCTCTCACTGCTTACCTATATCTACAGTAAAGTCGCGGATAAAAGCCGGGTTTGCATACAAGCACATCGCGGATAGAAGCCTGAAAATCAAACGGGTCAAATGCATATAAGCCTGTCGCGCATAGAAGCCTGGCTTCTATGCAAGCGCGGATCGGGTAGGTCAAGAGTGCATGCGCTATGTACAGTGCATAGTAAAACTGCCGCCATACAGGTAGTCAGTGGTAGATCTACGCGTGTCGCGCGTAGAAGCCTGGCTTTTATGCAAGCCCGGATCGGCCGATGTGCATACAAGCCTGGCAAAAATATCAGTGGTGCATATAAGCATGGTTTGCATACAAGCCTGGTTTGCATTGAAGCCTGATGCAGAAAGCGGCTTATGTGCTTATAAGCCCGGCTTTTATCCGCGACTTTACGGTATGTGATATGGTAGTAGAGGTGGTGATGCCACCCTGCCACCATGTCATGTGACAGCATTTTGTTTTTATACATGCACATGTCACATGACCTCTCACTGCTTACCTACTTGTATGTGACTTGGTACTGTACCACCATGGCTCCATGTCATGTGACCTGAAACATGATTGTTTTTGAACATCTGCTTGTCACATGACCTCTCACTCTCACTCTTTTTCTATGTCACTGTACATTAGGGGTGAAACGGTTCGGGTAAGGAACCGGTTTTGGAACCGCCAGCTGAAAAGAATCGGGTACCCGTTCCGTCAAATTTCGAACCGAAACTCGAAAAATCTCGTTCTCATACAATTACATGTACACGTCAAGTCTACTCAAGATTTTAAATGTCTTACCTTACGATCCCCACTCTTCCAAAGAGTTCTCTGGTCATTATCTTCTTCGCACTTGGACTCTCCGATGTCTCATTCTTGTTCGTGAAAATGTTTTTTTCTAAAAATTAATTGTCGCGAACGCATTTTGTCGGTCTGGAGAAAAGAGTGCATGGAACCGATACCCGAACCGTGGGAAACAATGCTGGCATTCGGGTACCCGAACATGAAAAACATGGAACCGTTTCACCCCTACTGTACATGTTTGTATTGAATTTCTACCACCATGTCATGTGACAGGAGATATTTCTATTCATGTACCGTAAAGTACCGTTGATCCGCCCCCCACGCCATGTCGCTTCCCAGCTGGGTTTTCGGGAGGGGGCGGGAATTAGATCAAGGCTGTCAAGTGCAGTACGATGTACAACAACGTAGAAGTTCAGACTCGATGTCCTGGATTGTGCACATTTTCATCCTGGATTGGCAAGTTTTGTGTACAGCAGAACATGCGTCGGTTCAACATCGTATTTTCGTTGTATACGCCAAAGTCGCTTCACGGGTAGAAAATCGACAGGGGCGGGAATTAGAGAGGGGGGGGGGGATCAACGGTACTTTACGGGACATGTCACATGACATCTCACTACTTACCTATGTTTACATATACAGTATTTGGCACTTCTGTTTAGCGACCCATGTGGGGATTGACCCACTGGGCAATGACGTAATTATTTGTACCATAAACACCCTTCACAGCCACCTGGGCATGGTCGTCTGAGGTGTTGAACAGTGCATTCCTGATCCCAGCGTACTCACAAGCATTACTCATACATTCCATATTTGGCAATGCGCAATGGGTCGATTGCATGGTCTTATCACGGCAGGATGTGGTGATAGTAGCCAGGAGGATGGTCAGAGTAGGGTCTATTGGGGTGGTATTGACCCGTTTGGTTTTCTTGATCATGTAATACCCCTGCAGATAAATCACCTGTGTTGGAATCCGGCCGACGCACATCAGTTTGCACAGACAGCCGAGGACAAAGTACTCAAGTATGTATGAGAGGCTGAGAGAGGGTGTGTGTGTGTGTGTGTGTGTGTGTGTGTGTGTGTGTGTGTGTGTGTGTGTGTGTGTGTGTGTGTGTGTGTGTGTGTGTGTGTGTGTGTGTGTGTGTGTGTGTGAGAGAGAGAGAGAGAGAGAGAGAGAGAGAGAGGGGGGGGGAGGGAGGGAGGGAGGAGGGGGGGGGGTGAGGGAAGGAGAGAGAGAGAGAAAGAAGGAAAGTGAAAGAAAGAGAGAGTGAGAGAGAGAGAGAGGGGGGGGGGGGAGATTCGAGCGCTGTCTGATGCCTCACAATTCAGCATGATGCAGTTTCTCCCCCATGCACAACCGAGTGTTTACAATGCTAACACCACACTCGGCGATGAACTCTCACAGCCCCCCCCCCCCTCCCCCCCCCCCTCCCCCCCTCTCCCTCCCCTTTGCCGTTAGCTTGACTGTAGGCTGTGTTGTGTGCTCCACCTTCAGGCTGTGGGATACGCGCAGTTTCAAAGTAACCACTCAATTTCCAGAGCAGGCACACATCACAGTGAGTCCATAGAGCTGTTCTATTTTGTTTTTACTCTTTATCTTAAGCGAAGGTCCCTGGTTTCAGTCCTGGCCGTAACAGTCACTTTTTCTTCAGACTTTTTCCCGTTTGCGTCTTTCCCCAAACCAGTGAATCTTCACCTTTAAAAAAAATATTTTTTTTACGAATGACCCAATCCCTACGGTCAGACAGATAGAGAAAAAAGCACAAGGACAGATAAGAAAGGACAATGCCGACTGGCTATCTGTAGGGACTGCTTAACTAGCAGCAGTGTAGGAGGGGCGGAGTGAGCTGTTTTCTGTCGGATTTTAAAAGTGGCCAGGTTGGACATGGCATGTGTGAAGAACGTAATAACGAAATATGTGGTTGGTGTCCCAGCCACAAGGCACCAGCTAGTGTGGGTGGATTTGGCCTAGATTGGGATCTTGACACACAAGTCCTCATCGAAGACGGTCGCAAAGTCGA